GTTACATTCTAACTGCATAGCTGTTCTCATCAAGATTACAAGCAGGTTACAGTTTTGCTTGTAAGAAAACCATTATTCTTCTTATCTTACATCATTTTTGCATTACAACCTCCTGAAGTTAAGCTTTTTACCTCTCTTCTATGACAGAAAAGGTTGCAGGTGTTTACAAAGACCTTCAGAAATTATCCCGTCTCTTTAAAGACCAGTTGGTTTACTCTCTTCTGGCAGCTGCCCGACAAGGTGAGAGAACATATTTACAGTTTGGGATGGTACTTAAGTTTTGAGGATGGAAGGAAGGACTTCTATCTGAAGCCTTGAGGGAAGAGTGTTAGAAACTGCTGTTCAGTGATATAAACAGTAAGCATAAAGTAATCTATACATTCTAAAGAAATTATATTAATCTTTGTATCCTAGAAAATGTTAATATAGTGGTAATTTCCTGATTTTAATTTTTGATTGCTCTAGTCTCACTTGAGAGACTGAAGTGGAGTGGCTGTTTTCCACACTTAGCAGTGAGAAAATCACATCACAATAACTTCATGGCAGTAGATCTGTAGTTTTGATCCATTTCTTTGGCAAAGCAGAAAGACTTATGTTGCATCATGTTTGGAATGATCTTCTCAGTAACTGGTCATTGAGGGTTTGGAAAAGATGGTAGGAAGTAACACAAGCTGGTGTTTGTGCAGTGGTAGGATGCCAGGCTTTCTCTGCATAGGTATTGCCATAAAAGTTCTCATCTTTAAAGATTACTCAGGAGAATTTTCTCTAGACTTCAGTGCAGGAAGGTTTTATGTGAAGTATGTGCTCTGTATTTGATGTGGTTTTTGTGGGCTCATGAAATTGGGAAGGTCTTTTTTTGTGAGCTATCCCTTTGTTCTGTAGCCTGTAAACATAGTTAGATGTGTGGAATGTTTCTGAGGCTTAGTGGCCAATAGCAGTCAGTATAAAGTGCCATCTGCCCTATTTTGTGCACTCTGTAAATGCACTTAGAATTGCAAGAGATCTGTTCTACAAGAATTCACATCAGTGCTTTGAGAAAGTTGGTGTAACTCAGGCATCAAATTGAAATGATTTAAGGGAAAGACTATAATGTCCTTTCTTTTAGGGCCTTTAGAAATAAACTCTGCACTGCTTATGTAATTCTTCTGTTTTCTGTACTTTGTAGCTCTGAACTTGCCAGATGTGTTTGGGTTAGTGGTCCTTCCTCTTGAGCTCAAGCTTCGGATTTTCAGACTTCTGGATGTCCGTTCACTTATCTCTCTCTCAGCTGTTTGCCATGATCTTTACACAGCTACAAACGACCAGCTTCTATGGAGGTTCATGTATCTGCGAGACTTCCGAGGTAATGCTGAGACACATGTTTTTGTACTTACATTCTCACGTGAGCAGAGGGGTTATGTGTGACAGATTTTGATAAGATGCTCCTCAGGCAACCACTTATTATTATTAAACACTATGACTAAACACAGTCATTTGTGGTGCTAACCATACAGATGATCAGGTGTAATTCATGTGGATTCACAGTTTTCTGCTGGGAAAACTGTTGACAATCTGCTGAGCCATTACTGATGAACCACATAGTTCTTCCTGTTGTGTGGTGCAGACTTACCTTGTTTTCACCTGTATCCCCTGCTACCTTAGTGTACCAGCTGTTGCAGATACTAGGAAGTAAAGAGATATTTCTGCTATAATTTCTCACAATAGATTGAGGAAATAAGGTGATAGAAATCAAAGATGGGACAGTGTTTGTGGGATTTCTCTGCTTAGTAACTTTTGGAGGTGATGCTTTATGTAGAATAGGTGTGCAAGTAGGCTACCTATTGAATGGTCCTGGAGCTTTTATATTTTTTAAGATACTTTTTATGAAAAATGTATTGACCAAAAATTTTTTAATCTCTTGATTCTTTGAATTCTGAAAAGACTGTGCATATCTGTAGCATGAATGCTGCTTAAAACCAAAATAGATTGCTCTTCTTAATTTTTCACTTCTTGTTGTAGATCCTATTGCAAGGCCTCGTGACACAGACTGGAAAGAAGTAAGTGCCTTTTTTTATATCATCTCTTGGAGATTAGTGTCCATGGGCTAACTTGAGAATAAAGCAAAGGCTTTGGAAGGCGGAACTTTGAGTTAATTTTTAGTTTAAACTGTGTTGCTCTGTGTACACATGTTGAGTTTGGTCAGAGTAGAACACAACATCAAGTTAGATGATGCATGTCCAAATTTTGAGTTACAGGTCTTCCAAAGATGCTGTGTTTGGCCTTTGTCAGGTGGGGGAGTTGCTGTTCTGGGTTTTCAGACTGGTGAGGAGTGCTTTTCTGCTGCAGAACTGAATGCTGTTGCTGAAGCTGGAATGCAAAGCAGTTACAGAGCTTTAAGATGCCTTTGTTTTCTGTCTGCAGCTATACAAGAAAAAGTTGAAACAGAAGAAGGAGGCCCTCAGATGGAGGCACATGATGTTTCTGCCCCCTACACCACATCCAATCCCCTTTCATCCCAACCCATTCTATCCTAATCCCTTTCCTCCCAACCCATTCCCATCAAACCCAATCTATCCCCCAATGATCATTGGTGGAGAATATGATGAAAGACAAACACTTCCATATGTTGGAGACCCAATTAACTCACTCATTCCTGGCCCAGGAGAAGCACCAGCCCAGTTTCCTCCATTCAGACCACATTTTGACCCAATTGGGTCTTTGCCAGGAGCAAACCACACACTTCCAGGACGAGCTGGTCCCAGTGACAGGTTTCCACCTAGACCCAGCCGAGGCCGCCCCATGGACATTCGCCGTGCATTCATTTGATTGCTGCATTTTCCTTCAGTGAGTTTTCTAGTCCCTTAGGTTGCTTTTTAACTGCAGGAGATTGCAAATCGCAGGCACTAACTTCTGCCTTCTTTTCTGATTGTAGCAAGAACATGTGTGCATGGTAATGTTTCAACCACTAAGGCTGGGTTTGTTTTATGCTCTGGTAGTATTGTTCCACCTGGCACTAAGCTCTGTTTCACAGAGCTACAATGTAGGACAGTTTGTTTTGCTCTCCCCTGCCTTTGCCCTTAATAATTGTCTGTGAAGTGCTACTTAGAGACCAGAAGGATACCAGCCAAGTAATTTGCTGCATCAGATAAAGAGCACTTTAAATACAAACCCTATACTTGTCTGTCTTATTTGAAGAATTTTATTAAATTGCCAGGAAAAATGATGTTGTTTTAAAGTCAGCCTGGCTAATAATCTTTATTAACAAAGAAATGTACAGAGTTCCATGTAGAACAGGATACTGCCACTGTTTGGTAGATACGGGTTTGTGGAAATTTTCAAAGATGTTTCCTTTTTTCTTTAATGTTTTATTAGGTAAAAAGCATTTTTGTATTGTTACTTAATACACAAAGAGTACAGGGAAGGGGTTTTCTTTACAATGGAAATAACAGAACACAAATCAATTTGTTTTACAAACAACTGAGTAAAGTCATGCTACAGTGCAACTCAGAAGTCTGAACAGAAGCAGAGCAATTTTACAAAGAACCAGCAGCAAAACTTTAGTCTTCTTCCTTGACTTTACAAATAAGGAGCTGTAATACATGGCTGCACTTACTGTGTGTGAACTGAAACTGGTGCAAAAAATCTGTCTTTTCTCCTGCATAACTTAAGGAATTGAATAGGTTGACCTGGTTGCAGTGGAAATGGGAACCCAGCAGGAGAAGTGGAACCAATTCTGACTTTACTGCAGTAAATGCCATTTAATTCCGTTGCTTGAGTATCAAAATATGTCTTGCCAAGAGGAAATGTGTTGTAGGAATTTATGAGCACCTTTCAAGTGTTGTCTTATTAACTAACGAGCAGATGACAAGACCACTGTTAAAGTTGTCTGATCAGACCTGCAGGCTGATGTTGGAGCTGAATTAAAGGAAGACTGGAATGACTAAACTTTGCTAGAACTTCTTATTTCTTACATATTTTTTTTAAGATGGATTGACCTCAGTGTTCCTGTAAATGTAAATTGTACTGATGACTGTTGTGACAGCTGATACTGTTTTCTGAAATATTTTTGGAATTCCACTAGTGAAAATGGAATGACACTTCCTCTTAAATACAAGCTATTTAATGGGTAATACTTATGTGCTTTTTCAGGTGATATTTTAGTGATTCATCATCTTGTTTTGTATAAAATCAGCTGACTTCGGTAGGGCCAGGAAGTTTTGCCATTAACTCCAGTGGAAGTAAAATATAATACCTTATTTTGCTGTCAAAAGTTGTATTGCTTCTTTCTTCCCTTTACTATTTCACAGCAATGGCATGTGCAAATCCTGCCATAATTAAGCACCTAAGAATCTGGGGACACCGGTTTCCCTTCAATACCAAGATTAGCTTCAGTTTTTAACATCTTCCTGCAGTGGTTGAATTGCCTTGTTCCAATGAGTGTGCCCCATGCTGCTCTATAGTTGAGTCCTCCCTGCCATGAAAACAGCATCATTATACTTCTGTCAGGCTGATGCCACAGGTTCTGTTTATCCTGGATTTTGTCATCTGAATGTTAGTTTTTGAAGAAGTGTACTCAGCCTTTTTACAGATACACCACTAAGTGACCTGAAGATATTCCTTCCTGTTCTTCATTGTGGCTTCACATTATAGTAAGGTTATTGTGAGCGAAAGGTAAAGGGATGTGACTTAGTCTGAACTGTCAAGTTCCCTAAAGAGGTGTCCCCTTCATTCCCAAAACAGGATTTGAAATATATCAAGTGAGTATCTTGGGACCAACAGTGTTAAATTAGATGACAAAATAGAGGAAATACTTGAAAACTAGCTCAACAGCTCTGAAGTCAGGTATGCGTGTCATTACTGTTTGAGAAGAGACATCACAAAAAGTGACATGCCTGAAGGTGAGTGTTTCTTACCTGTACTGTTCACCTGTCTCCAGCACTGTTAAAGTTGCTTAACAGTGTTGGATACGTGTGGATACCTTGGAAATAAGGAACTATAGTCCTTGGCTTTTCTATTTATTGTTTTAGCTTATTCAAGAAACTTAAACCAACTAGATGGTATAACATGTTCTTACGTGGGGTGTAAGGTCTTGCATACCTGCCTGTCGATAGTGAAAGGGGGAAATAGCATTGCAGTTATGAGCAGGACTGCTGTTCTTCTGAACCTTGGCTTTATACAAGACTTGTAGTCTCATGGGAATCTATGACATTCCTCTTGAAATACCACACCTAGATATTACAAGAAAGTTAAGATGCGTCTCAGGCTGTATCTAAACAGCAAAACAGAAACTGATTTTCAGGTGGATCCAGCTCCTTGGGCTGGATCCAAACAAATTATTATTGTTTCCTGGCTCCCAGGTGGAGAAAATTGAGGCATGCAGGACAAAAGGGAAGCTCTGACCAGATGCTCCATTTTTACAGCTGTGTGAGATCCCAAGGCATGTTCTGGGGCATTGACGGCCCTGCTATTTAAATGCAACTTCTATTCATTGACTTTCCTGTTGCCTTCTTATTGCCCCCTAACTCCAGCTGTTCTATTTAAGTGCCTGAAATACCTCTTGGGTAGACTTTAGTTCCCCATTCATATAAAAGATACCCTTTTTATTCCTCCCTCTCTTGCTTTGTTAGACTGTAGGGGTTTTAGAATGGGAACCCTGCCTTAAAGGGTATAACACAAATACGTGATGATGCATTTGTGAATCTCCTGCTAGCCACAAAATCTAGTTGTAGATTGAAGTGTACTGTTGGAACACTTACAGAACACGGTATAGAATTTCAGCATTTTGACTTGGAAAATTGACTCAATGCTTCCATTAGAGCACTTTCTGTGGCTAGAACTGAAGTTGCTTTTCAGGATCTATAGGAGTAACCAACCTAAGCTGAAAGTGCCTGTTGCTCTCACTGTTTTTTGCAAGGTGGAGCTCGGAGGAGGGATGATGCCATTCTGTTTGCTTCTTCCTAGAAAGATGACAGCTGGAAGCTGAAAGCAAATGAAGAGATTTGAGCCACTGCTGGGTATGAAGTCAACCGTGCTATCCTGTAACTGTGGTCTGTTGGAGAACACTGCTGGTGTGTTGAAATGCAGCATCAGCAAATGATCCAACTATTGTGGTTTTGGTGATGAACTAGGGTCAATTTATGGGGCTGTGCCATACTAGTCACTGGTTACTTATTTTTTTGTCTAGGTTGTGTTTGTGAGAGAGACATAAAAAGATCCAGGGGATAGAGCAGTTGAGTAGTATTCTGGCAGTAAACTTTTATTTCTGTCTTTATATCTGGTGACTGTTTAGTGGCAAAAGGCATAAATCATGCTGAGGGAAGTGTTACAGAAGGAAATCCTCTCCCATCAGGCTTGTATTACCTCCTCTGCATATAGTGGAGCCTGTTAATCTGCTATTGTTTTTACCAGTGGGACAGTGCCTGCTCAAGGCCATTTGTCACTCTTTTATTGCTCCTGGAGACTGCAAAACAGCAGGGTCTGTTTTTTTTTCTCAGTGACATGTATTTATGATGCTATACTGTAAGATGCTTAGCAAACCTGGAAAGACAACACAGAACTGGGGGGAAAATGAAACAATCAGGGAATAGGGTGGTTCTGTAATACTGAACTTGAGGTATAAATCATTGATCCAGATGAGTCTCTGGGGAGCCTTCCAACCTGGAAAAGCTATGCTGTTACTAGCCTGAAAGTGGTCACAGGTCACAAAAGCCATTATATGTGTGAAGGACTGCTCAGGGGTAGGTCATACAAGTTCCAGATGACTGCATTGGATTTAGATGTTAGTTACAGGTGCTATGCATGAAGGAATTGCTTATTTGACTTTATTCCCTCCAAGATGGCAAGTGCTGCTGTTGCTCTTGTTGCTTTGGGGTTCTCCCTGTTTCAGTGACAGCAAAGATCTGTGCCACTGGCTCAAATGTTTTTAACTTACTGACATCCCTGCCTCCTGGAGCATTCCGAAGTGTCATCAAAGTGAAGTTGCTAAGGGAAGCACAAAGCCTAAAGTCTGGCCGTGAAGCTGTATGTGTGGTTTGTGACTAAATACTTGACAAAACTTGAAGAAAATTTGAGGAGGTGGGATGGGGACTCTGCCTGCATTAGGTGTCTTCTAAATAGAGCACTATGCAAGGGGTGGGTTCTCAGCTGGTAGAAATTGCCAGCTGAGATTGTTTTACCTAGGGTGGGTTTTTTTCAATCATGCTTGTGTCCTTTCTGGGTTTTTTGCCTGGTTCTAGTATACTTTGTAGTCCTGGGGTAAAGATTGGGCTTTATGATCTTTAAGGTCTTTTCCAACCTAGTTGATTCTGTGATTCTATATGCTCATACACAGCTTCATTCTTATAAAAGCACACCAAAAAGAACCATCTCTGTCTCTGGAAGAATAAGTCTTGGAGGTGGTCAGGGAGGACTAATACTGTTCATTACCTGCTTGGGACAATCCCAACATGCCCTCCCATGGCTTGGTGTCTTTGGATGAACCCCAGATTATCTTATTTGGAAAGGATAGTTTGCCCGTTCTATTACAGGTTTGTCACCTTGCACGCATTTTTGCAATCCCCCCAGTCAGTCAGTGGGAGTTCAGGGAGGGAGACAGGATTTCACTCCATCTCTCTGTGCATTTGGTATTATGGAACACTCAGCACACAAGTATGTGCACTTCATCAGCTCTGCTATTAATTAAGCACGTTCCTGGGGGACATACTTAGCCAGATGTGACCAAGTCACCAAAGTGCTTGGAGTTTAGCTGGGTTTTGTCTAGAAATTGTGTGAAATGTGAATGTGAATTCCGGTGTTTCCAGGGGCAGGGGAAGAAGTTGTTTTTTTTTGTGTCGAAGGCCCTTTTCTCAGGTTATTTTGAGCTAGGGCTACAGGGTTAAAACATGACATTTTTATCTCAGAACTCAGCCATCACATGCAGAGGACATGAATGCAAGGCATGAAACAGAGATGTTTTATCTGTTATGAGCAGAATGATCTGGAACAAGCCAGCAGTCCATCTGGATGACCTGCTCATGTGATCTTTGGTGCTTAATGATGCCTGGTTCTGTATTTAACTTGAAATGTTGTTTTGCTCTGAAAAGTGACTCTTTATAAAATTGGTATCATGAAGTTTCACAGGTCACTGTCTCCATGCTCAATCATGCTTACTTTATCAGTCAATGAATACTTATTCTTGACTCCATCTTTGCACATCTGTTTCTGAAGCAGACCTATATTTTTTCAGTTATTGGGAGTTACCAAACTGTACTGACTATCTACAAATCAAAGTAAAATTTACTTTGCGCTGTTATAACTGTGGTGATGCCAGAGGGGTTAGCAAGAATAAAATTTGCTTTAGGACTCGGTCGTTTGAACAGATGTGATTCTGATTATGCACAAAACCCCCAATGAAATAGTGCCACTTTTATACAGTCACTTTTCAGACCATTATTATTGGAATATTTTCTTTGTATTAAAACAAATACAGTTTTCCAAATTCCATTTACCCAGATGTTAGTTGTAAGTCGCTGGGTACCACTGAGAGTATTGCAGGGTGACATCAGGTACGCTGATATGAAGAGTGAGGGCGGGCAGAAGCACGGATCAGCTGCAGGGCTGTTAATCAGAAAACAGGCTAGCAAATGATTTCCTCAGGTTTCGGATGGTCTCGGCTTTTGCTTCATCTTCATTGGCGTTTCCCCGCTGAGATGATTCAGGTATGCTGAAGGTGTTTGTCAGGGACTGCGATTTGCTGAAATGGAAAACGGAGTTCTGACTCAAGAGAAGGTGGTAGTTCAAAGCTGGTTACTGATGCTTTGTGTTCTATCACACAAATTCAAGGATGAAAGGAAAGGTTAGCAAGGAGAATCCCTATATGTGAAGACATCCAGGAATGGGGGAGCCAGTGGGGGTGTGTGTGTGGAAGAGGATGGGACATGGGCAAGTAGCTCCAATATCAGAGTCCACATTAGTGTTCATGAAAACACCTGACTAAAAGTATTCAGTTACCGCAATGCAACTGTTGTGAGGATCACTTAAGTAATTTTGCTGCTAATACAGAAGAATGGATTCATACTGAGGGTAACCTGTGTCTTTATCAGCCGTACGATTGATGATCCTGTCCTTTGAGATGTGAAAACGTGAGAGGTTTGACAAGTTGTTAGGCATATCACCTGCAATATGTCCTGTTGCCTGCCTCCCCCAGCATGTCTGTTCTGTCAGCTAAGTTATGCACATCTTTTGGTTGGCCATGCTGCTCCTTCTGGGTGTTTATATGCTAGTGTTTAAATTCAGATCAGGCCTGTGCTTTTGAAGTAAATCTCCCAATTTTCCCTATTATCATGCTTTGTCACTGAGTGGCTTCTCCTGGTCAGTAGTAGGCATTCAGCATAAGACCAGACCCTAAATTAAGGTACCTGGGATATGTGTAGTGTGGCGATTTCATCCTTAGCACCAACATTTTCATCCTTAAGTGCACTGCTCTTGGTTTATCTTGCTAAAGACATCATCACTGAAAGCCTGTTCCAGAACATCACTCTTCCGCTGCCTAGAAACTGCCTTCTGATTCCTAGCCTATATTTTGTTCTGGCCTGATCATACCAATTTGCTCATATCTACTTGTCAGATTTTTGTCAACACCAAACATTTTTTTGCCCATCTTTCCTGACGTGGTGCCAGCCAGATACGTTCCATGAAAGGTGGCATCAAAGTCTGCTACCAAAGATCCACAGTAGTTTAGTGGTATGCTTTGCTCCAGAAAAGCTCCTAAACATATAGTCACCATCTGGAGTTCTTTGTACCATAGAATTATAGAATAATTATCCTAAGGGTTGGAAAGGACCTTAAGATCAATCCAGTTCCAACCGCCTGCCATGGGCAGGGGCACCTTCCACTAGACCAGGTTGCCCAAGTTTCTGTCCAGCCTGGCCTTAAACACTGCCAGGGATGGAGCAACTTCTTTGGGCAACCCATTCCAGTGCCTCACCACCCTCACAGTAAAGAGCTTCTTCCTTGTAAAGACCTCCCTCTGTTTAAGCTTAAACCCATCACCCCTTATCGCTACAGTCCCTGATGAAGAGTTGCTCTCCAGCATCCTTGTACCAGCTCAGGGTACTTTTTGACAGCCTTATTCTAATATCTACAGATATTACCAGTTTAACAGAGCACCTACTTCAGATGTGGGTGAGGAGTGGGTTGCTGCTTGGACGTTTCAGTGGGGCTTGGCTGGCTAGGAGCACGGCCTTGAGCAGGAGGTCTAGGCTGCTGCGGAGGGAACACGCCTGCCTTGGGAGCCTGGACTGGAGAGGACCCAGTTGCTGATCGGACTTGCTGTGGAGATCCAGGTGACCTTTGCTGCTGAGGGGAAGTGGACTGGGGGCTCTGGGGCTGCTGTCCTTGAGGGGAGAGCCGCTGCTGTGGAGGTGCGTTTGTCCGTGGAGGCTGAGATCCCTGAGGCTGGCGGGGGCCACCTGGAAGGGATGTGTAGACAGGAGGAATTGAACATGGTGGGCAACAAACAAGGAGCATCTGTATGCAAAAATGGGTTTTGATAAGGGGGAAACTCTTCAGAGTAGCTTCATGCAGAAGGGAAAACCTCTGTTACAGGCCTAAAATTGATGTCATGCCTTTGTCTCTAGAGTTGTCCATTCCTCTGCCTCCTTCAGTGCTAAAGAAGCTCTGCCATTCTCCCCAGGTGTCCTGTACTCACTCAGTGTGCACTCAATGTACTGTACTCTTCCATGTAACTAATATTTCTTAGCTTTGGCAAGTGCTTCCTGCATTGGGAAAGAAGAATCACTGCAGAACCAACTCTGTGCAGGAAATGAAAGCTGTATGTGCTGGTTTGTGTCAGCAGTCCCTTCACAGGCCCTGCAGTTTGATGTCAGACTGCACACCCTATTGCTATACATACATCTGTTCCAGTATTATCATCAGGTGGCTTCAGCCGTATTGATAACAGACTCTCAAAGCTGAAGAGGATGTGGAAAACAACTGGATGTGACATGAGGAATTGCTGGATGTGACAGGTAACAATGTGAGAAACTGACAGAAGTTACAGAGAGGGCTGGCTGGATTTCACGGGTGGTCAAGGGGAACTCATGTGAGAGAAACACTTCACAGGGAATTGAAGGGGAGTATTGGAGACAGACTGCAAGGCCAATGATTCCTACAAGTAACATTAGGCAATGCCAGGATTACATCGATGCATTTGGTGTCTGAAATACTGAATTTTGGATACAGCAAAACTGTGACCAATGAGGAAAAGATTATTCGAGGTGGGTGTTAATTTGGTAGGAGATTGGAGTGAAGAAAGGAAGGTATAAAGGTAACAAAAAAGGAAGGGCTAATTATGTTATGTGAAGTGACTGGTTGGTGTGGTCTGGGTACCCATGGGGCAGCCCTGTGCTTCATTACCTCAGCATAAATCAAAACAGTAAATCACACCTCTTGTTGTGACCGAGAAACATGAGTCAAACCAGCTCCTTCTGTCAGGAGGAGCTAGGGGTGTGCTCCTGCTGACAGGGGAATACCTAGGCATCACCACACTGGTGCCTGTCCCAGGCCTGGCAGCACTAGCATGTTCCCATCCCTTCTTAACACTTGCAGCTCCTCCAGCTTTGTGCAAACACAAATATACTCTGTGCCCAGAATCCGGCTCCAGTGCCAGTTCAAGTGGCCTCGTTTGGCTGAGCCAAGTCCTACCAGCAGTATCAACTGGATCCTTATCAAATTTTCATCCACTTTCTGAGCTGCTGTGGAATATGACAGCAGCTGCTTTAAGAGCACACTGAATTTGATGCCTGCTTGTCGGTGAATTGGAATAGTGAGTGAAACCTTTATCCTGATAGCTTCCATTTAAGAGGGCAAACTGGTCTCACAGTCTGCACTGTCATGGGACCCAAAGAACGGTACCTTGAGGAGGGGGCCGTGGTTGGGACAGTTGTCCAAGCTGAGGTCCAGTCTGAGGTTTCATTGGTGCAGGCTGAACTTGTGGAGGCTAGAGGGGGAAAGAAGCCATTCCAGTTAATACAGAGTCCCCAGAGAGAAGCCCTGAAGTAATACAGGAACTGCAGAGTCATGAAGTGTTCCTTAAATACACGCACACACATGCAGCATCTGGCTGGTAAAATCTTGTGGGACTGAAATGGAGAGCTGCGTAATAAAGAGCACAGAAGTTGTTTGCTCATGGGGAATAACAATGAAGTTACAGTTTAGAATGTTTTTTAGGCAACTGGGAATTACCCAATGTATCAGGCCTGAGGGGGTCTCCTAGTCCCTTCTCCCACTCTGGACAGTTGCCAGCACCAGATGTTCCAAAGGAAGGTGGGATGAACCGTGGAAACATCTATGGAGTAATCATCTCTTTACCCTAAGGGGTCTCCTCTTGATTGCTAATAAGCAGGGGCCAGCTTCAGCTGTGAAACATGAAGCTTATTATCTGCTCCACAAAATCTCTGCAAACATTCCAGATACCTTGTTTTGATATTTACAGGCAGACCCTTTGAGTCTTGCTCAGCAATCAGCCTCACTGCCTTCCCCCTTTCTTAACTCCGTTGCTTTGTTCTGAGTTTTGAGAATACTTCTCACAATCTGCCCTTCCTAAGCCGTTCATTATTTTGCAAACCTTTGCTGCCTTCTCTCTCATTCACCTCCTTTCTAAAGCCAAGAGACTGAATCCCTTCAGTCCTTCCATGGGAATGTTTCCAGGTCCCTAATTGTTTTCATCACCCACTTCTCTTTCCCAGCTTTGTGATTTCTTTCTGCAGATGCCAGAGGCAGGTCTGGTTATGTTATTTCAGATGAAGCAGTATCGGGGTTCTCTGTAAACATCACTGGCTCATTTCTCCTGCATCCTATTTCCTGCTTTTCCCTTGTCAACACAACCATAGGCTGAGCAATGGTTTTCATTAGCTTATATGTGACAAAGTCTTTCTCAAGGGGAAGGGCTAGTGCCACTTGCAAGGTCCACAGATCATTTATGTCCTCCCTCTCTCTACCCCCAGCTTACCTTACCTTTCAATCTTCCATATGGAGTTTTATTTGCTGTGGTGACTGAACGTATATATCGCTCTGCCAGATGCTCTTCACAGGCCTCCCTGGTCCTGACTAATGCAAATAAGTAGATGCCATCTATACTTTCTTCTCTCTCACTCTTACTCTTTTTGACAGATATTTTAGTAAACAGATTAAGCAACACAGAACTGTTGCACAAAAAGCCGGTCCGAAGTTAACAAAAGTCTGAGTAAGCCTATTGCACAAAGTTGCTTATGAGAGCAGGGGAAGCTGGAGACAGATAGGCTGGTATGTGCAAGGTTATTTACATGGAGAGCACAATGATAAAAGGGTCTTCAAAGCCTCCTGGAAGGTCAGGAGAATGAGCTAAATGAGTCTGTAAATGGGAAGAAATGTTTCATAGTTGTAAGCATTGAAATGAGTTTTAACTAACATGAATGTGATAAGGTTGCCAGGCCATCTTTTATGCTTTTTTATCTGGAACTTGCAAATGGACAAGGAGGAAAACCTGGGAATTTTCCATTCGTGGCTTCTAGTTCTACATAGCTTGGGAAAATAAACCTTGCCTTGGTGTTGGTGGAAATTTACTGTCCTAATGCTGTGAGATATCCTGATTAGACCAGACAAAGAGAGGGGATCGGAGCTCATATTCACCTCTGCTGTTTTTGTCTACAGCCAACCAAGGCTTCTCAGAGATGAAGGGGTGAGGGCCAGCCCAAGATCTTCTGCCTTTTGAAGGGAAACAGTGAGGGGAAAGGATGGGGGGGGGGGGGGGGGGCAGAGAGGCAAGGGGAGGACTGCAGCTGTAATCATGAAACCAGGTTTCACGTTGTAGGCATGAAAACATGTTTGTTATTAACATCCTGTCCTGGTCTCCACCCAAATATCAACATGACCCGGCTTAGTCTTTTAAGTTAAAATATATTAAAAGGTGATACTTTTAAGTATCAACTCTGATAACTGTTTGCAAGAATTAAAATCTCTCACGTCAATATCTTTACCTCAGGCCAGCTTCTGCTCTCAAATCAAACTTTGCCTTTTAGTCTCTCCCTGCTTGCTTTAATAGGTCTTGTATATTACCTTGCCTAAAGCTTTCTGACAGCCTAGATGCATTTTGACTGATTGCCTGTTATCTACCACTTTATGAAAGAATTCTCATAGAAAAGGGTAAAAGAATCAAAAGGAAATTAATGGGACATTTTTCTTCAAGTGGTAAATGCTCTTAAGCTGTGGTTCTGTCAGTTTATTAGTCTTCTGTATTGTTCTTGAAATTATTGTCTGAGGTAATTCATAAGGTCTATGACTTGTCTACATTTTCCTAGATTACTCTTTCAACTTTTTGAACACATATTTTGTATTTACTGTACATCAATCCTCTGGAGCAATAACTGCTTCTAATGAAATTGTATGGTTTTTTTCTTGGCAGCTTAGTCACTTCCTAAATTCAGTTCATTGGACGTAGCCATCTGGGTTGGGGGGCTTAATATATTTAAAAATATAAGTCATCACTGATTCAATCACTGTTTTTGTTCTCTCCCCTGTCTTTCTTATCAGGAAAGCCTGTATCTAGTTTAATAACTTCCCCACTTTCAGCAATTAAATTTAATAGAGTCTCAACACTGTCTCTTTTGTCTTCCTTTTCCCCCTTAACTTCGGATGATCCATGAAGCCCACCAATTCTTTGATAGGGTTCCATCTTCAGAAGAACTCAAGGAATCTGCTTCATTCTTTCGTCTACCTGCTCTTCAAAATCAGTTTCTATCCTTTTCACATTTCCTTTTATTACTTGCATGATGGTGCTTAAAGGTCTTCTTAAATAGCAGATTTCCAAATTTGGAAGATACTTTTTCCTGTTTGTCTTGAATGTTTGCCACTTAACTCTAGAAGTTTATTTCTTGCATTCCTGGTTCAGGAGAAGATCAGAAATGCATATATGCATTCTGGGAAACAACGGTCTCTCAAATAACATCCATACAGTTTTACTTCTAATGCTAGGGAGTTGATTAATTTTCTATCTGCTTGCATCATACTGTTACTTTTTGATATCTGCCCCTTGGACATCAAACCTAATGGTACATATTCACTTTCTGAATTTGTACCTGGATGTTTCTTAAGGCTAGGTCAGGTTTTGTTTCCTGTTATGCTTGGATTTTGCAGTTACAGGAAGCAGACACCTACAGAGATGGAGAACTCTCTTTGAATTTCTGTTGTGTGATTTGACTTGCTGCTTGATAGCTGTAGTCTCACATTATTATGACTTGTTGCTTTTTCCATCTCTGCCAGTGCCGTGTACTCAGGTTCATAATTTCTCAGCTTTTCTTGATGTAGAGACTAGTACAGACAGCTCCAATAATATGTATTAATATTTTACACATACCCACCAGATATCTAAGAGTTCATATTTCTATGCGTTCAGTACTATTGTCCTTGTATTCAGAATTGTCTTTTTTCTTGGTTCTGTGAGTCTTCACCTGTAGCTCTAGTTCCACATCTCACCAGCCTCACATGTAATTACTTCTCTGCATATTTGTAACTTTGTGTTATAGCATTGCACTAATTTTTGTAGTGTGTGCAGTCACTGCAATGTTTGTTGTACCAAGATCTTTGTCTATAGCAAAATACTGTAGTTAAATGTTTGTGGTTTTAATTTTCTTGGGTTTCTATACAGATATTTGTAGGTCATATTCCTGACGAAGACCCTTCTCTTATTTAACTTTATTTGACATGCTATCCCTCTAAGACCATTTGTTTTGTTCTTATTTTGGTCATATTTTAGGTCTGTTGTAATCCAATCCAACCCTGTACCAGTATATACAGACATAGAAAGCAGATGCATCATCCATGTTCTCAGTTTCTGTTGGCTTCTCCTTTGCTCTTAGTTTATACACTCTCTATCTTGGCTATTTCAGATGGCAGTTGTTGATTCCACTTTGCCCAGTAAATCCTATCCCCTCTGTAACACTTTCCCTGCCCCAAAGCATTTTTAGTGTCTATTAAATGTTTACCTGCTCCCTCAAGCTAAAACTTGGAGTTTACCATGAACACCCTTCATGCTGGGCATCTGGTTTAGCAGGAGTGTCATATGACAAAGGCAGAAAGCTATAAAGTGCTTTTTCCCATTTTTTGGTCTCAAGTGGAAATGGAAACTGTTCAGTTCATTCCAGTCAACATTATCCCTCAGCCTGTTTACTCTCCTTTCCTTTCTTTTGTACAGATTTGTTGCCCTCAAACCTTTGTTCTTGGCTCCCTGCTAGATACTTACTGAAAGTGCAGCATATACACCCAGAGACACAGATTATGTTCTGGTGTGTTTCATTTATACAGAACTGCCACTGGAAAATGTACTAAGGTTGAGTGCATTTGATACTCAAAATAAATATACACGAGAAGCAGTAAGGGGGCAGTTTAAATGCAAAAATTACAGGTTCTTACATGAATTTAGCATTAGTCAAGCCTCCTTCTGATGAAGAGGGTGAGGGAAATCTCCAAAGAAGAAGGGCTGCATTAAGGAATGGAATAATTCTTGGTGGATACTCTCACTTCTGTTCTGGGAAGCACAGATTTTCATTAGGGATGCAAAAACTGGAACGAAACCTATCCTGAGGCATGGTGTTAGATGGAGATGAAGTTGGGTGTTACAAGAACTTCTAAAAATGGCTGTCTTTGGTATGAATCTATGAATTCAGCAAGCCAGAATATCTAGGTATACGGACCACACTGCTGGGGTGATGTCACAATTATGAGGAAGGAGAGGAAGGGAGAAAGAGGTGTTTCTTAGACTTCAGAGTCTATGAGAGACTTCTTTGGAAGAGCAGGAGTCAGTCTATCCAGTACACTCTCATATGGGACTGTTTGATCACTGAGCTGTCTGACTGCCTGATACCTGAGGGAAGCTAAGAGAGAATAAAAAGTTCAGGAAACCAACTTGGCCATAAGGCTCTCTTCAGTCATACCCAAGGCCTCAGTGGTGACGGCGTAGATCCAGCAGTGGTGACAAGCTGAGTCATTTTGGAAACAACCAGATCAGCTATAAGTTGTCTGTCCTCTTCCACATGCTCCCCAATCAGGGGCATCGAGCTGTCCATCACCTGCCACAGGAGGGAAGAACAACACTTAGTAAGGAGGTTTTCAGGTGGCAGATGCCTCTTTCAACTCGCCTCTCACATTAACCTGTTTTGTGTCTTAAAATCCTTGCCAAAACCTGTAGTCACCACTCCCCTCCATGCTGAAACATGCTCGACTTTCTGAGGCGTGGGATTTCGCTTAGGATTTTTTGGAAATGGCATGTACTTCCTCTCCACTCCCCATCTTCCTTCCATCCACGACTTGGAAGCCAAGCCAAGACTTCTGCTGGCTGGAGGCTTTCTAAATCAACTAAACACAAACCTTCTTCTTCACACATCCTGAGGAGATGCTTCTGATGGATGAGGTCTCTCTAGCATTGTCCCACAGTATTCTGGGGGGGGGGACACATTGCAGCAGAAAGGGCCACAGGAGAAGGGAAACAGTATGTATCAAAGCCTGAGGAGATGGGAGTAACAGGAACTGGAGGAAACTAGGAAACATTTGGAATTGATCAGAAAGCACTGCACCCTTAGAGGGGAAATAAACACTGCAGATGTGTAATGAAAAGGATGTCACCAAAACAACAGCACCCAATGCAGGAAAGTAAACTTATTCTCTGCTTGTCTTCCTGTTATGGTTGTGACTGCCAGACAGGTACTACAGTGTGCTGGGTAAAGTTGGGCAGCAAGACTAAGGGCATAGGGAAAGGAGAACTGTCAAAGGGTCTTTGAGGTAAGAAATGGTGTGATAACAGCAGTAATAAGTAAAGCACAGCAGACCCTCAGCTGTATAGCAGCCCTAAACAGGATTTTCAACAGTTCATCATAAATCAAGTGCTTTGCAAACATTAGTTAAGTCCCACAGGAAGAACTGCACTATGATGAAGTTAAGATTCAGCTGGAGTAAATAGAATTGTACAAAAATATCAGGGTTGGAAGAGTTTATTTTATTTTGCTTTTATTTTTAAACCAAACATTAAAAGCCCTGGAAATGCAGAGTTGAGGGCCGCATTGCTTAAGAAAGGCACTGACTCACGCTCAGATAACAATCACAAGTGCACTCCACCCTGGCAAGGCTGCAAGAGTCCACTCTTGGGGCGAAATGGAAAGTTTTGCACCCTTTTTTTAGTTTTAAAGTATGGGAAATCAGTGAGATGAGTTCACCGAGTCTGTATTCTAGTCTTTTCTTGCAAATATTAATTTGGATTTATTTCTATAGGTGTCTTTTACAAACACTAGGGAAGCTCCCTACCAAGTTTTAAGTGAGCTTCACATGAGAAGTGGTCTGGTGTTTACTATTCATGGCCCACTTGGCCCGGGGGGGAGGAAGAGGAGGCTGGAAAATGAGGTGGCAGTGCTTGGCTAAATACACAAGGTGGCTTTTCATTCCACTGTCCACTTTGCTGTTTCTGTGTTAAAAAATAAAGCAGGGCAAGGAGATGTTTGTATCGATGTCAGGGAATGGCTAGTTCCTGCCTGTGTCTCACTAGCCAGTGGTTCCTGGGGTCCCTCCGGCAGGTTTCTGTGCAGGTTTCCCATCCCTCTGCTCCCACCTTAAAAGCACTTCCATTTCATTTGGCAATTCCAGTTCACGGTGACAAGAGGTCTCCCAGCTCTCTGCAATGCACCGTGCGAGGGACCTGTGTGACCACTAGATGATGCCATTACTCTGCCATTACTAACAGGTTGGCCAACTAAGCCTAGCTCCTGGCTCCCTAGCCCTTCCTGTTGAGTAACTGACATAAAGCTCTGGTCAAAACGCTTCAAGACCCTCATTTCCCCATCTTAAGGACTTTCTTTTCTCTAGTTCTGTGGCAGCAGTGGCTGGAGAGGAAGGGGAAGATGCTATTTGGTAAAACAAAGGAAATGAACCCTGGTGAGGGTCCCACCTGAACCAGTGAAGGTGCATGAGCAGTGAGAGTATCTGCTGTCCTGCTGTGTAGTGTCTGGCAGGGGAACACAAGTGGTGGAAGATTGCAAATATGGGAATGAACAACAGTGTAGGGGAAGGTCTTTGAAAATGGCAGTGATTTCTCTGGGCAAAATTACGCAGCTGGTTGCCACTGAACTGAAAAGGATCAAGAGGCGTCACCTTGTCTGTTCTCCAGGAAAGGGGAATTTCTCTGGAACTAGGCAGATGCAAATGCCAATGCTGAAATAAATCAAATGGCTGAGAGGAATATGTGAATCACAGACAGATTGCACTTGTCTCATTCTAGGGAGATCACAGGATAGCTGGGCAAGACAAGAAGATGTTGGCACATATGGACCCGGCCTTTGTAGCCACCCAAGGTCAGTGCCTGCTCCTGATGCAGCTGCTGTTGCCTGATGAGGTCTACAAGGGGGGAGCAGAAAGCAGCCAGGTGGAGGAGAGACTCAGGAAAACCCCATCCTAGTCCTATCTGACACTGAGGCCTGAAGGCTGGACTTGTTATTCCATGCTCTGGAGTGCAAGAGCAGAGTGTTAGGTGATTTTTAGGGAAGGAAGGAAGGAAACAGATGATTAGACATATCAAAAGAACTGATATGGCAGTGCTGAAGGGATGGGCAGGCCTTCTTGCAGGGCAGCAAGGAACGTGTTTAGTAATACAGCTTAGCTGTATGGCAGGTAGGGCTTAGCTGATCTGGGAGGAAGAATGAATTACATGGATGATATTATTTGCCCTCTGTACTCGTTCCATATTTGTCAGCATAGCAGAGATGTGGAAAACGGCTAGATTACGCCTTCCCCCCCAAGAAAAGGGAGGTGGGAAGATTATTAAACTGTACAAGATGCTGAGCTCTTTTGAGAATTTGGCTATTACCAGTGGTAGTAAACTTGCGCTGTTTCGGGGATCTGGCCTTCTGATCCAGTGTTGACTATTCATGGTGAATATTCCCTTAAAGTTCTTTAAAACAGGAGTAAAAGAAGTGCCAGCATTAACCATTAAATTCACAGCTGTTTTAATGAGAATGAAACTTTGAAGAAATCAGTGGATTTTGACAAAGTTTTCAATATGAGCCATGAAAATGGTTTGTAAGTGTGCTAGTGCTTGGAAGGGCAGAAATGTACTGGGTTCTGCTGTTTGCCATGGGAAAAGAAGGTGAAGTTCAAGTACCAGCAAATACCACGGGTGCAAGATTACACTTGTGCTGCTCATGTGTCTTAATCTGATTCTGTTTGCAACAAACCACTGTTGATAAATCTCAGTTCTTAGAAATGCCCATCACTCTCTCTGCAAATCTTTCCTGGAGAACTGCTCTGGACTGTGAAAATTAATTACTGCCTGCAATTGCATTGTGCAAATTCCTTATTTGTTCAGCCCATTTAGGCGTGCTTTCTTGTAAAATGTCACAGCACGCTGCTCCTTCTCAGCAAGAAAAATACAACTGTCGCACTGTCAAACAACTTCTTTCTCCAATGAGCAATAGAAGAAAGCAAAATAAAGGATCAGTTTCAAACCAAGAAAAGTACCCCAGGAAGTAGGCTGGAGGCAATTAATTACTTGTCAGCATCTCCTTCAGATATGCATGAAGTAGAAAAGGTGCCCATTTGGCTTTGTTCTGCTCTTTGTATTGCACTATTCTACTCCTTTCCCAACAACGTCCATCAGCCTGGCATCTGAATGTGTGCTAGATGTTGGTACATCAGGCCTGCTCAATCAAATCTACAGGGATGACCCATCTGTAGCTGTTGTGTTTCTTCTGATTTCTGTCGTATTATATGCATTGCTTTTTACCTTGTCCTTGGGGAGAGGAGTATTAGCGTGCTTTTCTCTCTGTGTGCAGGCTGATGATGGCTGTTAGCATATGGATGTGCTTTCCATCCAGTCAGTCACATATGGGGGCAGATGTGAAAACCCAGAGGTATACCCAGACAGAGGCATATAATCCTTGAGTGCAGAATTAGCCATGTGTGCACGTAAGTAGGCTTATGTGCAAGAATAGGTGCAGGGATATGAAAACCACATCTCACGTCTGACCATGTATGGACACAGTCCTTACAGTTATCTCTAGCAAGACTGCTTTCTTCCTCTTCCTTTCTCAGCTACATGTGCATGGGGATATAAAAGTGCACGGCAGGGAGACAGACTGCTCTGGGGGATGCTCCCTTAGGTGCTGATGAGTCGCATACAGGAGCAAAGCCATCAGCCACAGCCCCATCACTTCAGGATGGAGTGTTTGGTTGCTGGCAGCACACTTATATCATATGGCCTCTGACAGGTCACTGCTCCCTGGAGAGCAGATACATAATGCAGGAATGCGCAGTCGCTGGAGGGCTCATGTGGTTCTCATCAGCATCCCAACCCTCAGCGGGTGGGACTGCCCTCCCACACATAGCTTTCCAGTGTGTCAGCACCCCTGCATGAAGCCATAGGCTGCCTCTGCTCATCTTCCTCAGCTGGCCTGTGTTGGTGGAGTTTACAGCAGGTCAGATGCTGTGCCTCCTTGAGTCACAGTGACAGAGGCTCTTGCTTACTTGCCAGATTTTCTCTCCCCCAGCGTGTCTCTTAAGTTCCCCTTTGATTTTCTGGCCAGCTTTCCCTTCTTTGCCCTGTTAGGATGACCCTATTTACCCCACTCCCACATCTGCCCCCTGGCCTGGCAAGGAGCACATTGAATTTTAGCTCTCAGAGCCACAGTCTGCTCAGCTCTGAACACAAAAGTTCGTAGCCCACACTGCCCAGAGTAACCCTGTGGTGCTTTGTCCTGCTGGTCCGTTATTGAAGTGAATACTGTTGGGGCAGATTTTATAAAATCCATCTTTTTTTTTGAAATTAACTTTTTCCTGCTGCTTATGGACCTTTTTGCTACACTCTCACCATTTATTTTACTCTTTTGAATTAGATACAGCTAGGGTTGCTGTTACTGAGGTTCTCTTTAAAGTGAAATGAGAATGACTGGTTCATTCAGAAAGAAATGAGATTTTTATTGGACCTATTCACCTGCTGGCCCTCGGGTAATGAGGGAAGGTTAACAGGACTAATGCGCTAGCATCACCTGGCACCTGAAATCAGGTTTGGCTGGATATGAGCATGTCTATTCATGATGCTGTTGGTCCCTATTATTAGCAACTATAGGAGATGCACTGGATTTGCAAGCACCTAGCCTAGGAAGGGTGGGACTGGGGCACTGGTGCACTGAGACACACAAAACTTTGGATGCCATCAGCAACACCTGCAGTTTTGTAAGAAGGTAAATTTCACATCTGGCCCATGCTTGTAAGGTTGTGGGGATTGATCAGCTGGAGAGCCGTGGTGGCCAGGCACTCTGTGGCTCTCCATTTACTTTCAAAGTCCACATTGAAAAATGAAGGCACTTCAACTCTGACACCTTGCTGCTTATCTGCCAGTTTAGCTGGGTCTCTAAATCAGTTTCTTGCATATCGGTGGGCCACAGCTTGGAGGATACAGGTGGGCATGGAGGAGCAAGGTCTGTTGAACCATGCACACAGGAGTAAGGTGCGTGCGGATTCTGAGGGAGCATGTTTGCAGGTACCCTTCCCAAAGGAGGCTTGCATTCAGGGTCCCCACGCTCTCACCTCAATGATATAGTCTTTTCCATCTTTGCTGTGGACGGCTTTGACAGCACAGATGTCAAGACCTCCAAACATTTCTGCACAGGCGTCTGCCCAGAGTCTGTACCTGCAGAAACCACAGAAGCACAGTTTAGCTGCCATTGGGTAGTCCATCACATACAGCCACCCATCCCGCTGCCCCTAGGAGCACAAGGAGATTCAGGAGCCCTTTTTGTCACAAGGCATACTTTCATATGCTTTGCTGGGTCATTGCCTCCCCCTCTTGCACATGGGATGGAGCGAAAAAACCAAGAATCTTGCCTGAAGGTTTCGTTCATTTCAGATTGTTTCAATCCATCCCTCAAAGCCACCTTAAAATATTCTTTCCCTCCTTGCTGTTTACATCAGATCTCCGGTTGGTTGTCATTTAGCCAAGCTATAAATATTTAGCTCATTTAATCTCCTGGTAGTGTTGGCCCCTTAGCGTTTGTATTGGCTTTGCCTGAAAGTCCTCCATTATGCAGGCAGCTTTCTCCTGATAAGATGTCCTGCACATTGGGGCTGGAATAGGATCAGAAAGTGAGTACAGCATTTAGCAAGGAGTAGCCATTTCCCCCCGATCTGTAACCCAGCAGCTCCTACGTATTACAACTTACTCTTTCTATTTCATTCTTTTACAGTCTCCTGCCTCCTTTCCATCTCCTGGCATTGCTCCTAGCCAGGCAGTCCCACCACATGGACCAAGCACTGTTCTGTTAGAGGGACAGCTACAGGCTGCAGCCCTTGTCTCCTCTGTCCTAGGATGGGAACGTGGTGCCCCCTTAGCTCTCCTGGTGTCAGAGGAGGAGAGAGCATGACAAGGGGCGTATTATGGGGGGACTGCATCCCCCTGCTGTGGAAATGAGGAGAGAACATGTTGGCCTGGTTTTATTTCCTGTGCAGCTGTGCCGCAGTTCTGACCATTTCAATACAAACAATAATCTCAGAACGGCAGATCTGTGAGCAGGACCATGACAAGATGTGGAGAGGGGAGGGAAGGCCACAGTCCCATGAAAACACTGACATTTTGCAGACCCCTACAGTGACTGGGAAATGAGCTTACAAACAAGTTTATATCCTCGAAGCCAGCCAGAGTCCCTATAGCTCGACAACATAGTGATCACCTTGTGTGAACACAGTGTCTGAGGGAAGCAGCAAAACCATACTACCAGTGCTCTCTTATCCCTAATGAGGAACGTGTCCACCCCAGCCCCTGTGAAGAAGACAGCACCTGAGGAAGAGTCAGTAGGATAAGGAGGAGGAGAACTATGGACCCCTTGAGCCTGGCGGGAGGCACAGTGAGCCCCACTCGGGCATTGCTGTGGCTCCACAACCAAGGGCACAATCATGGGAACCACCTCTCTTCCCAGAGGATGTCTCAGCAGCCAGGCTTAGGGAATTGTTGCCTGTGCCAGAGACCCTGATAGCCACATGTCTTCGATGTTGCTGCCCCTAGGTAAGCACTGGGAGGCATCAGGGCTGCTGGGTGTAATAGCAGTGCTATGGAACAGAAAAGCATATTTATGCATATGCATTGGGGTAGCATTTGCAGAGGATTTATTGACATTTTGCCTAGTTTTACCTGAACCTGTCTATCCTTTGGGCTACTGTTCAGTACACTTCAGTACAGAGCAGTACTTCAGTTTGCTCCTACTCATCAGAGCACTTCAGCACACTCTTGCCTTGCTGCATGTAGCGATGACTCAGAGATTTCAATGGAATTTGTTGCAGTTATGTCTGTGTAAGGTTAGAGTGGTGAATTGTGGTGCTACATCTACACAATGAACCTTCAAAATGCAGTGTAGCAGGTTGGCAGGAATCTGGATTATAGTCCTACAACACTGCAATGAGGGAATGCCTACCCTTCGTCTTTTCAGCTTCAGCTGTATTATAAACAACAAGGATGCACAATAATGTCCAGATCCCACAGTCCTATTAAGGTCTTGCAGAGTGACTTTCAGCATCTGATTTAGGGTTTGGCTTCCCTGTTTCACAGAACTAAAAGTACAGAAGAGACTTTAGGTAAGCACCTGCACAGCTCTTGTAGCCCAAACAGGAGATACTTCTTTAACTTGGTCTGAAAGAGTACAGATATTCCCCATCTCATCTAGGCAATCCATTTCTGTGCTATGCCATCCTTATTATTAGGAAATATGGGAAATGTTCAGAAGAACCTCTTCTGTTGTAATTTAAGTCCATTAACTCTTATAGTGTTGTAAGAGTAATATAAAGAGTGAGTAATGCCTATTATTAGCAGCATAATGAATCATGATCCTGATAAACTGGAGGTATAATCTAAAAAAATCTTAGATTCACTAGGGATGAGTGCCTACACATAATCCATGGATTCTATAAATCTATAAATAATTACTTAAATAGTACGGAGAACAAGTGACATGATAGCACTTCTGCAGAACAGGGCTTGGGAGTTACAGCAAGGCATGAGTTACCATGTGTCAACAATGTCATGCAGTTGCAATATTAGCAAATATCACAGTGATGTGAATATATGGAATTCCCATCTGCAAATTTCAGTGTAAGATGCATGAGACAATTCCTTCTGCTCTGTTCAGCAGTGAGAAGACCTTAGGAAAAAGAGAGTCCACTTCTGGGAGACTAAAGCTTTCAACACTTCAGCTGACAGATTTTTCCCTCTGTTGAGCAGAAGAACTTTTCTGTGTTTGTCTCTCATTAGTAATGAACTTAGAATAACTTCTTGTTACTTCTTGTTTTGTGCTGTGACTTTTCTGATTTTATCCCTACATGTTTTTGCTGGTGTGCTTGACCTTAGCATGCTGGTCTTGTTTCCTGTGGCTACATTCACTAAAGTTCTAATGGTTTAGCGATGTCGGTCTCTAGCTGTACTTCCAGTCCGTTCTCCAAATTAGGACAGTTTGCTTTTGTGCCCTTAGTATTTTTGTAAGGAAACACTTGGTCTTTTAAACTCCTTTATCCCACCTCCCAGGAGACCTCACTTACCAGTTCTCTCAATTAACCAGAGTCTAAAATACAATTCCTCCCTTTTAACCCGAGAATAGCTAGCACTGTCTTGAAACCCTCTTCCTTACCTCTCTGTCATTGCAATCTGTTCTAGCATTGCAGACCCTGTGTTTGCTTTCCAGTTTCCAGAGATGGATGTCCTCCTAGGAAAACAAACCAAAAACATAATCCAAACATGAAAATACACTCCTGCCCCATCCTCCCTTGTACTGTAGTCCTCCTCACCCTTGACTCAGTGCTTGTACAAGAGGGGATGAGGTGAGGTTCTTCCTCACAGAAGCATTCATAAATCTTGCCTCAACAACACTCCATACAGGATATGTTTTTCAGGCTAATAAAAAACTGAACGAGGAGTTAGACAGGGAAAACTCCAAGGAATCTTGAGCACACATCAGCTCTGTGATTACTTTCTTTGTACATCAGAGCTGAAATGTCTGTAGATTGCTCGGATAATCACCCATGTGTTCTGCAGTGGGTAGCATCATCCATCCATGGAAGAGCAATTCTCCAGGCAAACATCTGCCTGAGCAGCTTCACAAATATCAGCTCTGACATTCTGGGTCTCCCTTACTTTGATTTCAACTGTACTGGTGTCATAGAATATACGATTATACTTTCTTGTCACTGACTTTGTGTTGACCTGTCCATGGCTCACTGTGTCTGGACTTGGAGTCTCATCAGCTGCTGCTGGTGGTTAATTTCCAGAAAACAAGGTACTGTTGCTGACAAATCCTGGGTTTCAGCATCATCCATCAAGGGGTGAACACTTTCTTTTTCTCTACCTGAGGCACAAGGCAAACCTTGGCCAGCCTGCTGAGATAACACTGTGCAGATAACCCTGGCATAGTGTACAAGCTAGGACAAGTCAACAAGCTGACAGGATGCTCCAGGGAGCATCTCCAAGCTGAAGAAGATTTAGGTAGAGGTTTATGCAGGGCAAAGGAGGTGTGATCCAACACTTCAACATAAGGTTGTGGAAACCCTCACTGCCAGTTCTCTTACCTGATGTAGAAAAGAGACTGTGAACTTGCAAATGTATGTGGAGCACTGGTAATACTGATGTCCTGCTAGACTATAAACCTGGATCATTATAGTCAACTGCCTAAGATTCCCTTTTACTGTGGTGAGGGAAAGTCCAGAGTCTTTTTTCATGTCTCCTCTCAAGTGGTATGCATATTTGCTGTGAGATTTAAATGGTCTTTGTAACCATATTTAAGGGGGGGGGGGGGGGGGGGGGAGGCAAATGATCATGGTTACTGTGTTGAATAACTGTGTTTCCATGTAGTTGACTCTTGTCCGTCGCTCTTTTCACCCAACATCCGTTTTCCTGCCCTACTTTCTAAGCAGAAGAATGTATTTCTCCTCAAGCTTTGACTGTTACAAGCCCTTTGGTGGCCTGCAAGGTCAGTGTTCAACCCTCAGCCTCTCTTTTGACATGGGATTCTTAGGATTGCATTTTTCAGTTCTGCAATGGGAAGAACCACTCTTTATTAAGATTTAGGTTCAGAAAATTGCCCCACAGTGGCAGATGGCATCCAGAATTCCATTAATGCTGATGAGAACTCCTGGAGGCTGCTTAGTGACAAGATGATTGTATATCAGTGTTTAGAAGAGGTACGTGGCATACCAAATGTAAGCAGACTTTTAGGGATCAAGCAGATCTGTGACCAAGACACCTGCAGTATTGCTTAGGGTAAATGAATAGACTAGGAGATCACAGGCTGTTGGCGTATTATATTCACCATCTCCAAGCTGGGCCATATCAGTCTAAAAGTAGCCCTGGTTTAAATACAGTTGATGTTGTATCCCCTGCAGAACACATTGAACTGCCTTTGAGGTGACAAGATCAGACGTCACACTTATGAAACTGGAAAGGAAAGGATATTACCCTCTTACTAAGAGCTGGTGGCAAGGAATATCTCACCCTAAAAGTCAACACAGCTGCTGGCTTAATTCAAAGCGAACATTTAATGAGTCTTAAGTGGAAATAATACCCCTGTTTGCCCCCGGTTAGGGTAAGGGTAGAAGCATAATTTCTGCCCCAGTTTTCCTAGCCACATGAGAAGTATTTGTGTTTTCTCTTTGCCGGTATTACAATGACAGTCAAAGACTTCTGGTGGAATTTTAGGCATGTATCACATGCTGCTTATCTGCTGTTTTGAGACTGGCCCAAGGCATGGGCTAAGTAGGTGTTTGTTAGTAGTGTAAATCTGGAGTCACTGAACTGAAATCAATGGGAAACTGAACTCAAGCCTTGGGTCATGGGCTGGAAGGAAGTGCATTGAACATCTGGGGTGGGGAGGAATGCATGAGTCACCCTGCAGCATCCTCCCTCTGGCAGATGATTGGTGCAAAGTAAACATATTCTGGAGAATTTCAGTACAGTCTTTTCTCAGAAGGAAGGGGGATTTAAAAGTCTATATGTGTGGGTGAAGGTATAAAAATATTGGGTAGATTCCATGGCTCACAGATCAAAGCAATTCACTCAGTATGACGCTACTGCAGATGCTGTAATTGCCTTTAAGGCTGCGATTTGCTAGCATGACTAATGACTTTGAGTCTTCTATTTGAGAGACCAGTGAGAACTCTGATATTCTGGGTGCTTTAACCTCTGTCTTTAGATATAGTAGGGACTTATTTATACCATAGAAATAACTTTCTATTGTCTGATGCTGGGACAGAAGGAACAGCTCCCAATGGGACTGACTGTATGGCTCTCCCAAGCTCACGTCCATAAATGGCTCTCAATATAAATCAACCTTGTTGGTTAGCAAGTTGCTGGAATTTTGCCATTTGCTTTCTTTGCCAATAAGCTTCATTTCTCATTAAGGTGTTTCCAGTTCATGGCTGTTTTCATGTGAAAGCATTTTTCGTTTAGGAAACAATTGTTTGCGCAGTTATATTCCCGAGTGGGATTAGCTGTTGGTGTGACCGCTTTCTTTCCTCAATCATCTGGTATTATTTCTGATCCCTTTCTGCATGAGTGCGTGGTGAGTGTGAATAATAAACAAGGAGAGGACATGGTAAGGCTAACTGGACCTTTGTTTCACTTAGAGGCAGGCTGGGAGCAGGCTTTGGAGCCAAGGCTGGGTAGGTTGGCAGGAATAGGGAATTTTAATTGATATTTTAAACCTTCCTTCCTTTGGCCGATTTGCGCCAGACTCCCTGAGATGTTAATGTAATATTAGGCAACTGTGCTATTGTTGACCTGATAAGACTTAAATTTTCTTTCACTGAGTTCTCATGAAGTAGCCAGGTGTCCCACAAGTCCTTCCCATAAAGAATGTGACTCAGTCATTATCTAGTTACTTAAATACCTCTGTGCTAGGAATCCAACTGGGAATCTTAGGCAGCTATAGCTGAAAAATATGTGATCATGTACATCTGATTGTCTTATTTAACTATGTTTCACCAGAACTGTGGCCTAGGGGTTTGTAAACATGGACTGAAAACTCACAGTGTTATGGGTGTTAGGTAACATATGAAATTTGTCTGGCGACCTGAAGAATGTACTGCTGGAGCTGTCTACTTGTCCAGAATTTTGTGGCTGGATAAGGAGCTTCTGGAGAAGCTGTGCTATTTGGCTTTTCTCATCTACTGGTTTGCAGTAAGGAGAAACAGGTGTCTTACTGACTCTTGTGGTTTCATCTTTAACTGAGCTTGAGGACTACTGAAGTTTGGCTGCATGCTTTTTAATATTTTAAAACATATTAGTGCTGTTGGTTGCCTTCATGCCACCTCCCTCACATCCCAAAAGGCAGGGTATGTCCCTCCTTCTCCTTTCCTTTCTTTGTATGCTTCAAGGAACACAGATGCAAAAAGCCCAGAGGAACCCTGCAAGCTGGCCAGGCTGAGGCCATTTGTACCTGGCCATTTGTGTGCTCTTCATGTGAATGTGGTGCCATCATCTCCAGCTGGGGGAGGATGGGCTGTTGCTATGGGTTGGACACTGTAGGACTCCATGAGTTGCAGCTGGCTCAACCTGCTTTATTGTTTTCCCCCATGTGCGGAAGGGAGTGAGTTTGGTTCCCGCTAGAGGGTACGGGGAGGATTTTGCTGGGAAAGATGAGCCCTTTGACAGCAGGAGGGAGAGGTCACATGTGATGGCAGAGCACAGTTGTTATAATGAGAACTAACTGAATCTCAGAAACAGGTAGTGAGATTTGCATTCCAGACATAGTGAGCTGACGGTGAGTAATGGAGAAGATGGTTGGTGGATGAGGGATCTGGGTTCAGAGGTGGGAGGAGAACAGAAGGGCTATTCTTCAAGGAAATTAATCAACTTCCTACTCCTGCCCAGAGCAGACATCGACTCAGTCACATCCACAGCACTGTCTCCCCTTTCTCTCTGGCATAGCCGTACACTCACATGTAAGCCTTGTAGTTGCTGCCGATTTTCTGGATTCGGATGTCATACTTGGAGTCAATGAATGGCTCAGTGGTGGCGTAGGTTTTTGCCATGGCTACTATGCTGGCCATGTCCCGGAAGTCGTGCTGGTTCTCAACTTTGACCTTGATTGCCAAAATACAGGGAAAAGTGACAAAGAGCAAAAAGAACAGGAATACTTTGTGAGCAGAAGTCATCTCTGTGCCTGAACAGCACCAGTTAAAACCCACACAGTTGGAGCTGAGGACAGAGCAGGGATTGATTGTGTGATTTAAAGACAGAAGCTCCCCAGACCAACCCAACCCAGAGCAAATCTAGCCCTTTCTCCTTCCTTATGCACAAGTCTGGTAAACCTGGCACCCAAGAGGCAGATGGCTCTTGCTAATGCTCATTGTTTTTATGATACTTCAGAAAAATACTTGATCTCTTCAGGAGCATTACTTCATTCAGACACTGGAACTGCTATTTCCTATGTTGGGATGGATGAAACAGAGTATTTTGGGTGGTCAGGAAATATAAACCAATAGCGGGAAATAAACAAGAGAGCTGGTTGTCTGCCACCTCTAGGCTTTAGTTCCCTGGCATTTCACATTACCCCTGCTCCAGACTTTCTTTGAGGAGCTGTGCAGGTGTCCCAGCTGGAAGCAAGCTCTGCAGGAAAAGGGTGTCACTGAGGGAGCCTGTGATTCTCGGGGAGATTTGTGTGAGTGCAATGCCACAGGCATGCGCGTGGGACAACCGGTTGGGTGTTAGACTTGAGTTGCACTTGGAAATGAGAGGGCAGTGGCCTATGAGCTGGAGTTTTTCTGAGAAGCTGGCTTTTCACAGTTTTGTATTCAGCTATGAGAAATGCTCTGTATCTTATCCCAAAACCAAACAAACTAAGGAAGGAGTAAAACAGTGAGTGGGAGCTCTAACAATATGATCAGATCTCTACAAAAGCTCATTAATTTGGGAGAGAAAAACTGCACATCAGGTAACAAGGACATAGTGGACAGTTTCATGTCATTCACACCATCAGCCCTGGCCTTTAGTCTGTTGGCAAAAACATGTTTGGTGCATCTGAGAAACACGTGTGAGTCTTGCTCCTTAAAGCTGGATGGATGCGGTAAGGGTGGGTTAATTGGTGAAAAAAGACCAACACTGTGTGAAAATGATGAGCAAGTGAGTGGTTTTCTTTTACACTTTGTAGTTCAGTAACACTTGGAGGCCACGGTTGGGGATTGCAAAGTGTCTACTTGCTCATGACAACCTGTCAGTCTCTGCCACAGAAGAGTTTTCTAGTTGTGTCAGTTTGTGTGTTAAAGGAGGGTGATGCCAGACTGTGCGGAGCCAGCTGAAGGAAATGTGTTCAGTGGTATTTGGTGTTTCCTTGCAAAGAACAAACAAAGTGGTTTTACATATCTGCCTTCAACCATGAGAGGGCAGGAGCCATCTTCACTAGAGAACAGAGGACAAGCTTGTTGCTAACCTGTTTTATTCTATTTAGATGGTTTTGTGCAAGCGCCAGCTGTAACATAAGCCAAAGATGCAGCCACATCCTGGTGCAGAAAATCTCTTGAGAACCGGACAGGTTGTGGGGAAGGTGAAAAGTGCAACTAGTTTGACCTGTGACCATCTAGATGCCTGAAGAAGAAGGAAAAAAGACCTGGTCTTTACTTCTCCTTTTGTTGAATGCCAAATACCACTAGTCCTCCTCCCTTTTGCTGCGGTGAGAACTGTACTTTCACTATTCAGGGACCACTCAGAAAAGCATCAGAGGAAGAAGGCAGTCGTCTGTGGGGGTGGGAGAGTAAGAAAAAAAAAGGGAAATAACAAACACAAAGGGGAAATGTAAAAGCAACCATTGCACGTCATCCAGGAGGAGCAGCCTTGCGCTGGGCTGTGTTGTACCCCTCTATGTCTGTCTGGGGCTGTGTGCAGTGCTGGTGCGGCAGGGCAGGGTGAGGTGGTAGGAACGCCCTGGAGGCAGCAGGAGGAGCAGGAGAGGGGAGCACCTCATATGGAGGGAGCCCTCAACCTGGGCGCAGCTTGCAAAACCCCAGGGGGAACAATGCAGGCTGTGTAGGGGCTGGGTATTTTGGGTATTTTTGTTGCACAGATAAGAACTGCGCTGGTCTGAGTGAGATCAAGTGAAGAGAGCCCACCCTGATGAGATGATCACAGGAGGGACTGCACGGGCAGGCGATGCATGGTGTTACAACATATTCTACCAGACCCTTTTGGCAATGGGAAAGACAAAAGCCATTATATAATGACCTTCTTGGAATAAGGACATTCTTGGGGTCTGAAACAAAGTGCTGTGCTTGTGCAGCAGATGTCTTTGGGCCCCGGATGAAACATGTGCATCGCCAGCCCAGGAACATTTATCCCAGAGGCAGAGGAAAGGATGCTGCTTCCCCCTCCAGATTGGAATTAGAACGTGTTGTTATTGCTAGCTGTAAGATCATCTTAATGATTTATTTAAATTTATTTAAATTTATTTAAATACAGCATGCTATGGAAAGGAAGGGTTCGTTTCTTCCTCCTCCCCATCACCCTCTCCCTATGGGGAGAGAGGGAAAGCACTCGAACATGCTTTCTCCAATGGGCCTGAGGATTTTTGGCTGGATAAATAAAGAGAGGGGGACTCACCAGGGACACAAGTAAGAAATGATAAAGAAGATGACTCCCACAGTGCTACACCACTGCACAGTCCTCAGTCCTCTGCCATCTATCTCTGGCCTGTACCAGAGCCCTTCCCATGGACTTTTCAGAGAAAGCACCTCACAGAGGTCCTCTTTAAGGAGATCATGGCCTTATTTTCCACCAGGCATCAAAATAATCACCACACCAAAGCTGAAATCTGATCCACTATTTGTTAATTGTTAGAGTTGGCCAAATTTGACAAAATAACAGCCATGCCCTGGGTTAACACTGATTTAGTCCAGGGTATGGTTATTACTTCATTAACAGGAAGCACTTGAGTTACAGTCAAATTAGATTTATTTTCCTGCCTTATCTAGCAAGTCCACCATTTTATTAGCTTTCTGCTTTTGAATTTTGTATAATTCATTTCCTCCTGCTTTGTAGCCCTTTTACATGTCAATAAAATATCCATTCTCCTAACAGGAGAAAAATCTCTAGAGATAACCAAAGCCAGGGTGGATGTAGCGTGACACCAGAGGGCATTATTTAAGAAGGGACTATTAAAAATAATTCAAAAGCAAACAGTTACCAATTCACCTAATAAGGGATAAATCTGTCTTCTAAAATGGCAGGTTAGCCACTGCATGAAACTGAGGAAAGAAGTTGGAAAGAGATCAACAGGAAGCCATTTTTTTTCCTCTCTCTTTTTTGTAACCTTAGGATAAATGCAATACCCCATTAGCTGCATAGAAGAGTGCAAACAGTGAGTGCAAACACAGCCCCTGCCCTGGTGGCCTGTTTGCTTAGCTGTGCTGGCTGTTTGAGCAGCAATAGCCTCATTCTGGAGCCATCAGCTGCTGTTTGCAGTAGCGTTTTAGTGACCTGTTGTGGAGAGTTTGGGCCAGTGTGTTGACAAATGCCTTTTCTAAGTAATAAAGCTCCCTGGGATAGTCTGCTTCCCTTCTGGCTCTCTTCTCTAACCCAGGCACTGGCTGTGCCTTAGCATGCTCCCTTTTGCTGCATTAGAGAAGGGAGTCCAGCTGGATCCCTGGAGACATGTGCATGCAGATGTGACCATGCTTTTGCCCTGTTGTGGCATCTCAGAGGCTGATGTTAGTGGTCTGCTACGTGATCTGGAGCTGGTACCCATTTCTATCCCCAGCCTGCTCAAGAAGCACTGCCCCTGGCAGTCTGAGGGACTGATCAAAAGCACCTCTCTACTATGGACCTTCTTTTGAGGTCTTCCTGCAAGACATGATTTTGGAGAGTGGGTCCTGGCATTGTTAATAACCCACCATGGGTATTTCCTGTGTAGTCTGAGCCACTCCTGGGGTCTATGTGAGTGCAGGTTCCTGGGTAGAAATTTCTGCTTCTTGTCTTGTAGTTTCTGACTCTCCTGTCTCTAGGATATCCTAGATATTCCTGGACACCAGGGTGCCAGGGCTACGGCACTCTCATCTTTAGCCTAAGTACTGTATTACTTTTGCTTTCATTAGTTAAGTGGCCACATGAAAGAATAGTCAGTCAGCCAAAGTGGCATAATTATAGTAGTCTGCTAGGGAAGCCCTAGCCTTGCCTTTCTGAGTGTCATCCAGAGGTAACTTTGCCTTTCAGGTTAAACCCACATCACTTTGGAGATGGCTTGCAGAAGCACTTTCTGCATCCAAACTGGGGTTAGAGGCAGGTTCAGCTGGAAGGCAAGCGTCCAAGGCTGAGCCAAGGCCTGGCTTGGCAACGTGATGTTTGACTGAGTCTTGGTAGACTTGTGAAAAGGCACAGTCTGAGTACTTTCCTCCAGAGTAACCGGCATGGCCAAGTAAAATTTGTGATTTTTTTGTCCATCTCAACCTGCACTTAACCTTTCTGTAGCTACTTTACCATTCTAGGGCAACAGGTATGGCTCTGCAGGCATGGCTCTGCAGAGAGGGGCTCTTGAGTCTTTCCTTCATTCTGCCTTTTAATACTCCTGTTCTCAGAAAATACCTGATCCAACCAACATACACAGAGTTTAGGATTGACTTTGACTCACCTCAAAATGATAGAGGCACAACAGAGTCTGCATTTCCTTACTATCCTCATGATGAAGTTCTCTATATGTTATGCTGCCTTTAATGCATTGAACCTTATAATCCCTACTAACTTCCTAAGGAAGAGCTTCTCAGCCCCAGACCTTGGCAGCTTTGGTCTCCAGTGCCCTGGATCAGTCACCATTTTCTGTGTCCAGAAAATGCTTCCAGACTGAGGTGCAAGAAATGGGGATGCTATTTTCAAGACGGGTGGTACCTCCTTGCTCATGAGTCAGTGGGAACACAGTGATTGGGCTGCTCTGCTGTGAATGTTACATGTCAAGTCATTATTTGTCCTCTGTAAAAGAAAATATTTGTTCCTTGACAAACCGAGGTAGCCCTTTCCCCTTCCTTTCCTCTTTAGCACACTGGATTTTCAAAGCTCTCACTTTTGGAACATTCTATTTCCAGTCCCGAGAGAGACAAGGTGACGAGCTGTCCTTCCTGATAAAAAGCTTGCAGTATTTTTACATTACAGTGTGGTTCTGTTTAGTTTGTGCTATATTTATACCAGGGAAAAAAAAGAAAAAAGAAAAAAGAAAAAGAAAAAAGTAGAGAAGTCTTTCCCATCCAGTAAGAGAGAAAATAACTCTGACCATGTTATTATGAACAACAAGTTTTTCTTCTACAACGTAATGAATTCATCTGAGCCAGGATTTGTACTGGGGAGGTGTTTTCATAATTATGGGGCAGGCGGGGACAGGAGGTGACTCTTAAACTGGCCAAATTAGAGAGGTCTAAAAATAAAGTAAGAGAAGCAATATATATATATTTATTAAATTAATATAAATAGCTATAATGCCACATGAACAGATACTGTTTTTCCTCTTTGCAGATCTGGCAGTTGTTTCCTTCTCATGATCTGATCAGGAAGAGGTGAAGAGGCTCTTTGAGTGAATTTGCAGTGCTGGGCTCTGTTCCTAGGGCACTTTAGGGTCATGTTAGCACACAAATGGCAGATATCAACACACTCAGAGCTTTATTCTTTTCCATGGACTCTGGCATTATGGGATCCGGAGTCAGGAACAAGTGTTAGTCCGTTCTCACTGTAGTGCTCACCCTATTCAGCAGAGATGCCCAATCACTTCTGGGGTAGATGGGCTCAAAATGCACAATGCTTAAAAGTGTCTTGACCAATTAGGAGCTGTTGTGTGAACAATAGCTCTGCACAGTGAAGGGCATCTTCTCTCTGTGTCCATCCACAGTTTCCCTGGAAAAGTCCTTGACTACTATTGACCCCATGAGCCCAGGCAACTTAAATACAACATGGGAAAGATCTCTCCTGACTCCATTGTAAATCATTGTCTAAGCAGAATTTCTACAGATACCTTATTTGTATTGATAGTGTTCTGAACCAGCAGAGAACACATATTATGATTTTCCAGTGCCAGCAAAATATGAAGTAGCTCCAAATTTGAAAAGAGATATAATGATGGTCATGGGTGAGGCTGAGGGGCATATGTCGTGTTTTGAGCTGAGACTGTCTGGGGCCCCTTTGTCCAGGCAAAGGCTATTCCTGGTGTCCCTGTTCAAGTCAATAGAGAGGCTGTTGTTTCTGGATTTCTCAATGGAGATTTCTGAAGATGCCTTTTATTGCAAATATGCTTTATTTATCTCCACCTGCACCTGACATGCACTTGGCAAGAGCATTTCTATCACTAATGGTATACTGCCACCCCTTTTGGTTCTGAGCTTGAGTTCTAACTGTTCCTCTTCCAAACTAAAGACAGTAGAGCCTGTTTGTTACAAGTCCTAACATGGTTATTTTAGCTTTGAGGATTCCCTCTTCAACCTTTTGATTAAAAAATGTGGTGAGTGAATTCTGTGAAAATGTTGTGAAAACAAATGATATGTGACAATGAAAGTCTGGCCATTATAATTATACTCTTTCCAGCCATTATTGCAAAATAATAAACATGTAGTACTTCTTATAGTGCCAAGAGCCTTTGGAACATGAATTAGCGAAAGAATAAGGTAACCATTGTAATCCTTCTGCTTTGTAACACAGAGAAACTGGAGAAGAGCTGTGAAATGATATAAATCTCCCTGCAAGTCAATGGTGGATCTCTTTGGGGAAGGAGCCTTTCCTATGTCCAAAGCTTTTCTGGCTCATGGCCACTGCCTCAGTACAAATAAAGAATAAAAGTGGGCTTTCCATCTCTGCTCATTTTTTAAAGTTTTGGTGCCTCCCACTACATGTGATTTTATCATTAATAACAAGAAAAATGTAAGTACTTCCTTAACAATTTCTGCTGGTAATGACACCGTAATCTGAATGCTCACATCCTTTGAAGCACCTGCTACAGGTACAAATACAGGGCTCACTATCTTGGCATCGTTTGTTGCTGTAAGTACTCTTTTTAATATTCACATGTGGACTTTGGCTAATAGGTTGGTTATTTTATCCTTTGTTTCTTCAGTCACTGCTATAGAAAACATGACCCGATGCAGGTGCTTTATTAACGTTTACTTTCTTATACACTTCTAGACCAAAAGCAAATCTCTCTCTTTCATATTACTTACATTTTACAGATAAAGACCCTCTATTTCTTGCTATCATTTCCACTTCTGAAGACCACGGCAAAGAAATTCTTTATCTCTCTGTAATCTCCTTATCATCACTGGTTATTGCTTTTATATTATGATGGTTAAAACCACCGTATTGTCTCCTAGAAACTTTCCTTCTCTGAATTACTTAATTGGAGGTATGATTTTGCTTACCTATGAATGTTATTTTTCTAGTATACCCATAGTTCTCCTTATGCGTATTCCTCCTGACATCTTCTATGGCTTCTTTCTGTCAGTTCCACTTGGGCTTGAACCCTATTGTCTTAAAACCAACATGAAACAAATTCCTGTAACTTGTCTTTCAAACCAACAGACTTGTTATTTATTTTATTTTCACTTTCTCTCTTCTCTTTTTGCTCTCTGCAAGGAAATGCAGTGAGACTTAAAGAAGACTAATTTAATCAGTCTCAACTTTCCTTTAGGCTGCTTGTGGCTGGAGAAGGGCCCAAACTAAAACCATAAGGTCAACAAAGCTTCCTTCCCATTCCTTCCTCATCTATCAAACAGAGCAGTGTTGAAACTCTCCGACCAAATCCACATCAGACTTTGCTTGTAGTTCTTAATTTCATAACAGACAAAAGTAAACTTGGCCTCAGACAAATACTTTCTTCTAAGATGCTGGATGTCAGCCTATCTTCATCTGGAATGACTTCCTACATACTCCCCTTGTACCTCTGTGTACAACTATGCCCAAAGTTTGCCTACAAATGCTTTTCTCTTATAACTTGTGACAGCAAAACCCAACATTACTAAAGAATGAAGTAAGAGGGAAAGTGAGAGGTGGAAGAAGATCTGGTGTCTGGTGCAGAAGACAATAGGTAAATATTCTGCTGACTGTTTTGTCTGGAAATACTGTTCAGATTGGGGTACCTTTCTCTGATTCTGCACATATTTCCATAGTCACTGAGGGTCCTTTATGCACAGGAGAGACACATGAAACCCTACCCACATTACAGGTCAAACTGCAGAGCAGAGAGATCCAGGACTGCAGGATCTCAAGGAACTTGAAACCATTCCTCAGCAAGAGGTTTCTTCCTCCTGGTGTTCCAGTTAGGATTTTGCTAATGAAATCCTTCCTAGGGACATGTTCAGTGGCTCACTTTACAAGCAGCTCTAGGCTGTCTCCATGTACTCTAATTCAATGACACCTCTGTCTGTTTAACACACACAGTACCATATTTTAACATACATTTCCCGCTTATTTAAATGTTTGCTCTTTGATGCTGAAAGTCAACTTCACCACTGGCCCAGGGATCTGAGCCCACTTCCTCTCCAGCAGCTACCATCCAGACAGGGGAACACTGTCACCAAAGCAAGAAAGATTATGAGAGATTTCACTGCAAGCCAGGAAGCCAGAATGAGCTCCTATTTCCAGAGCACAAGTAAACAAGCTGGACCAAGTTTAAGTTTGGTGTACCTATATATAATTTTCAGGTGAAGTGTGAGGCTGGGAGAAGGTCTGTCTGCTCTAGGGAAGCACTGTGACAGTGGTACAAAGTTCATGTACCTCCCATTTGGATTCAGAGATGATACATCAGAATTTCCTACTTGTGAGCAAACCAAGTTTTAGGCAGATATGGGATGCTTTTTTACAAGGTATATACAAGAAAGTGGAGGCTAAAATGCAGTAGGAATGTGCTGGCGATGCCTCACTGAGAGGGGAGCACAGTCACCCCAAGAAACAGGGGCTGCTAGTTCACTGGGGGAATAAAGATCCCAGAGAGCCTGGGAAAAACAAACAGGTCCTTCTGGGGAGTGAAATGTTTTTCAGGATTCCTTGGCAGGCAACCAGCCATTCTGCTTTGTAAGGTCTTGTTCTTCCTTGCAAGGAGGAAAAAAATAACTGAAGGGCTCCCGTTTTATTGAATCAGGTCATCATAATGCTCTCAAAAAGACCCCTGCTCCTCATTGTGAGAGCTATGGGGTGTAGCTGCACATTACAGGTGCTTGAATAAACAGCATTGCCACTTTCAGGAGAGAAGAAAACATATAAAAGACCAGCCTAACAACTTCAGCCCAGCCAGCTTTTCCCCCACTCTTCACAACCCCCCTTCCTGCATCCCAGACAGCCTCCAACCCAGTACCACTGCCTGTCCCTGAGTGCGTGACAGCAGAAAAAGGCCTTTTCTCCCAAAGGAACAGCCAGCGCAACCCAGATAGGCTGCGGGGAGGTTTAACCCCTTCTCTGGCTGTCCACACACCATGTATGATAACAGGAATGCCGTGCCACTTATATAGCTGTTTCTGGAGCTATAAGTGCATTTTCTGTAACTTACCTTTCCCATTCCAGCATGAGCATGTCCCAGTTTGACCACTACAGGGAAGTTTGGAGTTGTGAGCTGAAAGACAAAAGAAGGAACTTCTCATTAGTTATTTCATTCCAGCCACTGTATTTGAAATAATTTACTTTTATTTAGTAGCTTTTATCCCATTCCTGTATGCTGATGGGAGAATAAAATGGTCAAATAAAGATGGTCCAGGTGGTAGCTCAATACGTAAATAACTAACATGGATCGGTGGACCCATGTGATTGAAAATGGAGGCCAGGCAGAATTCCTCAGATCCCACCTACCTTTGCTGCCTGACAGCAGTAACCTCTAAAACCTTATTTTTTTCCCAGTGCTTTTCCCACACTGTACATATGGATGTGTGTGTACCCATATGCATGTAAAAGAAGCTGCACATGCAAGCGTTGAGTCAGTGAACATTTTCAGGTGCTTAGAATATCTGAACTGTGAGAAAGACAAGGGTTTGTTGTTTTTACTTTTCCACACAGACTACTTTGACCTTTAACGTGAGTGTGATCAGTCCTTCACAGCTCCCATTCCCCTCCAGTCAGCAGTGGTGGGGGCCAGGAGAGAAGGAACAGGGGCCAACCCTTGGGTGCAACTCACGGAGTCCATCTATTCAGAAAGCCTCTTCCTCTCTTCTCTAACTTCAGGGGATGGTATAGAGAATAAAGGAAAACAGAGAAGGGTTGGAATCAGCAATAAGAATAGGGAAAAAAATGTCATGTCTTCTCCCTGGCTTGTGTGGTGTTTACAGTGGGCAGGGTCCTGCCATCCAAGCCACGCAACTGCATCTTAGTGCACATGTGGGATTTTACTTTGAGAACTGTAGGTGTCCTCTCTGTCTTCTATTTCATGCTCACACAAGGATTTACTTGGAGCAGAGAGCCGGGTGGTTGAACTGATTGAAACTAGCCAGGAGTAACCAGGGTAACATATACACCATACCTCACCTGCATACAGGTTAGTGCATTTCTATGCCTCTGCTTGACATTGCTGTGATCTTCACCTCGTCCTGCTCTCCTGATTCTTGTGATCTTAATGCTATCCCTTCAGTGCATAACCTGTTATTTGTTATTGCATATTCATTTTCTTTAATGGGAATTCTTTACCTAAATGCCTGAAGCAATGAGCTCTATTCATTAAGCAGTTAACATGGAGATCTGGCAATGGGAGGGAGTTGAATTTTGACAGATAAATGGCTGTCCTATTTATTTAAGTTTAAGAATGGATAAACAAATTGTTCTTGTGCTAATTACTAATTGTCTGTATGGACAGGCAGGCGCTACATCCTAAAGATAGAATGGTGCTGCAGTCTCCATCTGTGGCGGCTCACTATAAATAACAAAATTAGCAATGAGCACTAATATGTTTTGCTCTTCAGCTGCTTGTGTAAAGGAATGTCACAGGTGAGCAGAGCAGGGAGTGCACAATATTCTCCAACAACCTATGTCACTTGTAAGGACCTTCTTCAGGCAGAAAGTCAGAAGGTTCCCTTCAGACCACAGAATGGCCACAGCTGCAATAAATCATGGTCCTGGCACAGGCAGGGACCAGCACCCACTCTTTCAGCAAACAACTGTGATAGGTTGACATCTTGAGGCCCCGTGGTTAAGCATATGTCCAGGCACGTGAGTTTGTGCTCTATTTCCCCTTTGCCTCTCTAATGCATTGTAAGAGCCTGAAACTTAATTTGCAGCTGACATAAATGAATGAGTGGAGGACTGCACCTGAGGCTCGCTAAAGACAGGGCTATGGATGGACCATGCCAGGCCTTTAATGCTGGAAGATGAAAGGTAACCTACCAGTTAGGGTACCCAGCTGCTCAGGCTCTGGGAGACCCGGCTTGCTTCCCAGCACTGTCATCCGTGCCCCATGCACACTGTTAGAGCCAAAGCGCTGGCAAGCCCTGGCCTCTGTTCTATGTTTGTGAGCAGAGGCTGCAGCTGTTCTTACTGCACAGGAAAAGCAAAGTGCATGCTGTGAGCTGGCTTGATACCCTGCCAGGGAGGCCAAAGAAGTGTGCGGGATAGATAATGTCCTATCACTAGCTCAGAGCAGCCAGAGGCAGGAAGCAACGTGTCTGTTGCCCCGTTTGTGTACCCTACCTGTGGGTTTTGCTGAGGGAGCATGGCTCAAGCATGGGGCCTGGGAGTGGGAAGCATCTGTTTTCCTGTGTACATGCAAAGAAAGCTGGGATACAATAAACAACCCAAGTTTACTGCTAGCCTTAAATAAACCACCAGTAGTGACAGCTCTCTCTGTTCAAACCTCTCCCTTTCTCTTTGCTTCTTGGAGATGTGAGCTCAGCTTTCTTGTAAGGCATGGTCTTGTCTCACGTAAGGGTGACCAGCTGGTGCCAGCGCACGGCACATACACTTAGCTGCATTTTGTAATGGGTTTATCTAGTGACAATGGAGTGAACTTTGTGCTGAAGTAAAGTGGAATAGAAAGCTCTCAACAGCCCATAGGACTAAAGAAACCAGAGTCCACAACGACCCAATAATGGAGCTGGGAAGCCCTTGCTGAAGTGGTGGAAGCTAGCTGAACTCCACTGTAGTCAGTGTGGATACTTCCAGCTTCCACCAGGGTCTTGACAGGACTCAAGTCCCATTTCTGTTGCTAACAGATAGCCAGCCAACATACTTGGCAAGCAACCAGGTGGATAGGGGAGCCAAAAGAAGGGGGAATGTATCATACACACGACTATGAGGCAATTCAGACAGATACATAGTGAGAAGTTCTGGGGGTGGCCACAGCCACCACAGGGGTAGTAGACCCCTGAGATGTGTATTTACACATACTTGGTCATAGATTTACTGGAAAAGAAGATGCTTGTAATGAAAGGATAGCACCAGAGTGTAATAAGAAGAGCATGTTTTTGCTGAAATTATGCAAAAAAAAATGTATGTGTATTTCTATGTGTTTATGTGTTCTAAGGGCAGTATTTTCTTGGAAAATGGGGAAAAACATTTTGATGCTTTCAAAGTGTGCATGAACTGTTGACAGTCTGGTATAGATGATGTCTGCAGTTTTTGGGATGGGACTGTAGCACTGCAGCTAGCTTGGTGATCAGACTCAGGGTGTTAGTTCATATGCATAACTCATCTCTTTGAATTAACATCCCATAAATATATTCCCAGATGGCACACAAAAGCCTTCAGATGGCAAAGTTTACATATGTGTCTTGAACTTGGTGTATAAAGATGCCTGTTCAGAGTCAAGCAGGAGTTTGAATCCTGAACTTGGAACTCAGCAAAGCCATCTTTGGTAGGAGGGAAGGGAGAGTCATGAAGTTATTTCCATCTTACAACATTGGTGGCCCAAAGTATATCATTTTAGCCCCTGATTTTAAGGGCTCTGCTTTGTGTGAAGTGTCACTGCAAAGATCACTTTGCAGTTCATCAGTATTTTGGCACTGGTGTGTAGCAGTGAGTGCCGGTATGCATGCATTAGCCTCTATTTGAAAACGCATGGCTGTAAACTATGACACTTTCCCCTTACCCTCTGCCCCTCCTTTCCAACAAATAGTGAGGTTTTCAATACTTCTTGTAAATACATGAATAGTTTCTGTATTTATTACTGGTGGACCGGTAGAACAGTGTTGGATCTAAATTGATCTGAAAGGAGGAATCTTAGATGAAACCTCATTTGCCCCATAAATACATTGCTTTCCACTCTTGTTTCACTGAGGCCCTCAAGATCTAAGGTCTCTGGTTTTGTGTACTGCCCTGTAGTCCATAAGCAATGCAGAATGTCTCTTTTGATTTCCTTCTGAGATGTTTTGTTTTGTGCATTTGTTCACACTATCTCATCGCATCTCATACGGTATAATTCCAATTTCCAGTGTAATTCTTTCTTCTGCAAAGACTTTCCAGTCAATGCTAAAATGAATAGTCCAGGGTGCAATGACATCATGGATAATATTAGGAAGGACCTGGGGAGATGGAGATATTAAAACTTTGGTCTCTTGGCACCAGTATTTTGTTACCTGGTGTTTTCAATCAGGACAGAAGCCCCCATAGCACAACGTACTGTAATTTTTGGTTTACCCTTTCCCCAGAAGTAATACTGTAATTTTTTTCAAGCTTTTATAGTCTAAAACTGACCTTTCTGTTTATTTAGCTGCCTTTAGTTTTATGATGGCAAAGTCTGTTCTGGGTGGGTACTTAATGGATTATGGGAATGTTCATACACTTGAGAGCTAAATGTTGAAAGCAATTGTGTGTGGCACTTCCCTGATGTCAAGTTGGAGGAGCAGTGAATATATATAATTTCCTGTAAAAGCAAGCAAGCTGATTCAAACCTACAGGAAAGTAATGATGTCATGACATGATGTCATTGTGTTTATGGAACTATCTTCCTGAAAAGCTGATCTGAAGATCAGCACTGCTTGCATGCCAGCCTTGCCAGGCATGGCAAAGTCAGAGCTGTATAGTGAAATATAGAGGAGAAGTAGCACTCCCTACTGCTCACTTAATTACTCATGAGTTTATGTAATGAACAACTGCATGCAGCATGGATCACTCAGTGGATTAATACTGTAGCCCCATGGAGGTTTGTGGTAGCCAATGACTATGACAGACAAGTCCTTCCCCTCTGCTGTTTACCAGATCAGAAATACAATGAGAAATGGTGGGAGAACATGTCAAATAATACAAATTAATATCTCTTCTCTATTAAAGACATGTGATATGGATTCTTTTAAAACATACACATGACTGTAAAACACACATTTAAAACACACGACTGTATTATAATTATGGCACAATGAAGAAAACATCATTAGCTGGAGAAAGAGGGCCTATGCTCGGATTTACTTCATCTGAGTATGAAGACTAGGTATTCTCAAGGGTCTCTGAAGGAAGAAGGACATTGGCGTTATGATGAGAAAAATAATGGGATACTTGTGATAGGAGGAGTTCAGTAACAGCTGGATAAAGACAGCATTGTACAAAGTAGGACCTGAAGCAGTATGGTGACTGATAGATGGGATGTCAGCTGGAACGCAACAGTGCCCCTTCCAGCAAAAGAGAAGACAACATATAATTTTAGGATGAGTTAAGTTTTACAGAGCTTTGTTGAGCTGGGTGATGAAATCAATGCTCAGGATGAGGTAGATGGTAGTTTTAGTAGTCTGTACGGAAAGCTTGTAATGTAAAATGGGAATAAGCTAACACACTTTATGTAAAGCACTGTGAGGGCAGAGACCAAACTTTTAGCAAGCAGGCAAGCTCTAGAGGTGGCATAAAGAAGAGGCAAGAATGAGGCTGCTGATTCATTCAAGGTTCTGGAGGGAGAGAAAGCATTCAGTGCTTTGAAGGGGACCTCACTGCTGCAGGCCTGGATATCTGTGAGAGCAATGGGAGGACCAGGAATGAGTGCAAACCAAAGGGTAAGATTTAAGATGTTTTAGATGGCTGGACTTTTCATTTCTTTTAACACTGGAGCTGAGACCTCCAGCTTCAGATAGGAATGAACATAGTGAATAACTAAACATGGATATGGCATAAATCAGTTGTGCTACTAAAGGATGTCAGCAGTGCCTTAGGGTGCGAAGATCCTTCAGGGTGGTGAAAAAATATCCTTTGGTTCCATCATTGCTTTTAAAAAGCACAACGCACACACACACAAAAAAAAGGAAACAACAACATGACTTAGTCCCCACATCCCTGAGTAAACAAACCACAAACCAATGTTTCAGGGCTCCTAACACTTGCTGTGATTAGAACAGGTCATGGAAGTGAGGGGAAAGGGTTAAGCACAAAATGGAATTTTTTGTCATTAATTCCGCCTCTAATGTTACTTAACTTCTCCTTTATTTGAGACAGGATGCTTTTGGGTTCCCAGAAGCCCCCCTCAGCATTCGGAGGATGAGAGTGTGAACATTTGATATTGCTCTCTTTCCCTTGGAGCTTCAAGTGTGAGAATTCTATGAACTTATCCAGACAACCAGATGCTCAGCAAAAAAGAAAATAATATAGTGTGTGTGCGTGTGCCTGTGCACATGGTTGTATTCACACACATATCTAGCAGTCCTGGTCAATAAATCCCCATCACCACACCTTGAAATACAGACAAGTTTTCTTAAAGGTTGTTATGAGTACATAGAAAAGCTCAATTTCTCCATGCATGGTGTTCGCTTAGGCAGTATTTTGCAGTGTTGCTTTTGGGGAAGCCTTTTGTCTCTTCTTGTTTGTTGGGAGAGTGTATTCATTCTCCCAACTCCTTATGCTGAATCATAGAATGGTTTGGGTTGGAAGGGACCCTAAGCTCATCCAGTTCCACCCCCTGCCATGGGCATGGACACCTTCCACTAGACCAAGCTGCTCAAAGCCCCCATCCTACCTGGCCTTGAACACTGACAGAGATGGGGTATTGAAAAAGGTTTAAATATATTTTTGCAGGGTGCAGTGGAAGAGAAGAAGAAACTCTTGAGTTTCCTCTTCCCCTGATGTGGAGTGGGTACTTTTTGCTATGTTTTTCTCTAATTTGAAAATTTATTTCCTCATATAAACACATCACAGAGAGAAAGATGGTGAACAACAGCTGTTGACAGGGTGTGGAACTCTAGAAATTTTCTTTTGATGGGTTACCTTTGGAAAACTGTACTGCCTAAGCTGTGGTAGAAGATACAGGATGGAGACAGAGGGGGAAAAATGCTTTATGCTGGATTGCCAAAGCAATCTTTCTTCCAAGAGCCCCTAACACTCACAAGATGCTGGCCAACAGAGCTCTCGCTTCACTCTCAAGGCATCCCTGCCCCTTTTTTGGGCAAACTCTGAATTCTCACTGGTTTCAAAATGAGGTTTCTTTGGTGGGAACAGAACTTCCCTGAACTTCACAGTGGAAAACAACCTTCAGAAACAGGAACCACAGGAGCAATTAGGTCTCACGGAAGTTGACCATTCCTGTGTTACTGCTGGTCTCTAACCTCACCATGCAGTCTGCTGCAGGTGCTTTCCTGTCTCCAAAGGGCAAAGTGAATACTGTTTTCACCCCAGCTTTTACACAAAGTGAAGTTGTGTGCCTGACTGCAAAGCTTGGGAGAGATTCACGCATGACTCCAAGAGCTTGGTCATGATTTCACAGCCTTCTGTAGCACATTTGAGAGTGGTGCAGTCAGTGTAAAATGAGAAGTGGGCTCTGGGCTTATTTGTACATTCATTGAGAAACGGCTCTGATGTCTTATTGTAAGTCTCATGCTACTGTAATTGTGCCAATGGCCCCGAGCGGCCTTGGCTGACATTGCCTTGTCAGATGCTGGCAGGAAGAGGGCAACCAGCAATGAGCCATGGATGTTGCCTGGTACAGGGAACAGGATACCATGGGCCACTGGAACATTTGAAATACCCTCTGGGCTCCCAAAAGCTGCTGGGCAATGGGTCACCATCTCCTTCCTTCTTGCTACTCTTCAGCACTCAGAGCTATAGAAATAGTAGCACAGAGAACCAGGCAGTCACAGTAGGGCTTTTTTGAAAGATCCGTGTTTTATTTTTATACCTTTTTTAAAAGCACAGTTAGTAATCTTGATTAATGCTCCAGAGCATAAGGAACACTGGACATAAAGAAGTAGGGGGAATATGGGAAGTGTCACCCCGCAGCTGGCATCTCAGGCTACATCTATACTAGTAAACAGAGCAATGACATAGCAAGGAAAACAGCCATGAGTTGAATATCCTATTAAACTGTTAGATTGATCTCTGGCATATTCTAGCTCAAGCCAAATAGCCTTCTCACAAACTATTCCAAAGCACAATATGGAAACCAGTGTAAGTCTGCAGCTATACCCTATAGGAAAGTCTGGAAGCTAGAAGAGTTTGATAGTACAGCTGGGATTGCTCCATGCCACATTTGCCAGAGAACTGGCACCGTATGCTCTGCTGCTGTTAATATAGCCTCAGTCAGTCGTACAGGGTTGAGCAGAAGAGTAGTTTGTATCTCACATTACGCCCTATGTTTGTGCACTCTTACGTTAGTGTTTTATTTCAGTTGTAGAGATGGATGGTCACATGCAGCCATAAATCACACCATTCCCTTATAATAATTTCTACTGACTGCCTTTTTCAGACTGAATTCATAGTAGGTGTATTCTTCACCTACAGCCTCAGACACTTCCACTGCATTTCTTTTGTCCACTGCATTGGAAAGTAAGGTATTACCTCACATGAGAAATGTTTATGCTGTGGGCTCAGTTTGTCCTGTTTTACAGGCAGATCCTATTTTCAGCATTTTGAGTCCTTGGGCTCATGCAGGAATTCAAATATTTCACTAATGTGGCCTGTCAGTGAGATACACATACCCTACTTTTTGTGCTCTGGGACATAAATGTGGGGAGTGTCTCCAAAGCCCTGTTCCATGGACCTACCTCCTCCATAGGCTGTACATGGAGTTGAACGCTGGCAGCAGCTCTTCTGAACCTTGAAGTTGTTGTGGCATCTTTTGTATGCAGCTAGAGCAGGTGGGGGCCAAGTATGAGCCTTGTTTTTCTTATATCTTCATTCTTGTGCTACAGTTTTTCATTTTTTTCTCCAGATAAAAATCTTCTGTGTGTTTCCAGACTAATTTTTGACCCATGTCAAAGAGACTGAGGACATGAAAGGCAGCAATTGTATCCTATGATTGAATTAGCTCTGTGTCTCTTGAGATTTCTTAGGAACTTCCAAATTACATGTTCTTGGTAGGAGCCAAAAACTGTAGGAAGGGCTGTATTTCACCATCTTGCTGAATTCAGCAGTTGCTTGGGGAAGAAAATGAGGTTCCAAAGACTTCATATTTTGAAAGCTGAAAGTGTCATGTTTCAATGAGTCTGTGAATGAGCAACAATTATCTTCTCTTTTTAATCCAAAAAGGAAATTAAACACTTTCAAACTGCAAATGGGAAGTTTTTCTGACATGTATTTTATTTCTCCATGCTTCATTCTTGAGGCTTTTTGAGATTTTGACTTTAGGTTAGGGAAAGAATCTGAAACCTTGAAAGCTCTCAAGAGCTGAGAAAACCTTTTCCTAGCCAAGCATTAAGGGCATGAGCCCCTAATGGCACCACATGGGTATCTGTCTCCCTCTTGTGGCTTATTCCATGAGATAAGACACAATCCTGCTCCACCTGTTTGCTAAAGCCATTTAAGCTTCTAATGAAGTGGAAGAAATGTGTACAGTGGGTGTCCTGCGCAACTATCCTATATGAAAACTTCAACTAGTAACAACCTAGTTTGTCGTTAGGAGTCAAACCCAGCAGGAGAGTCAAGCAGGCTCCATACAGGACAAAGCAGGGTTATTTTCAGCAGGGATTGGTTTCTGTTTACATCTTTTCCAGCTCTAATGAGAAAGGGGCTCCTGAAGTGAACACATTTAGAGGAAGACAGAAGAAACCACTGTGTGGATCAGCCTTTTTCATCTCCCAACCACCACCTCAGTCAGTGGCATTTTTTCCCTGCTGAGCATACACATTGATGTATCGCATGCAGGCTGCAGCGGCCAGGAATGGCAAGTGGCAGGAAGCAGAGAAATTCCTTTTGGAGTAACACATAGACCCTCTTCTTTCGCTTGGGCAAGCCTGGAGGAGCAAAGGATGCTGTGGTCTCCGTGAGCCTACTCCTTCTGTTTTGTCTAGAGAGAAAGGGTTTGCCCTTTACTGGAAAAAGAGGTGGAGACCTGAGCTGATTTCATCTGTGAGGCAATATCTCCACTTCTCTGGGATAAATGAGACAAATGTGAGTGAGCTGGTCCACGCCCAGTAGAGGAAGGTATTTGTTTCTTTCCCAGGCACATTGCTGAGGCTGTCATGGGATCCAGGTAGGATTTTGGAATATGGGCAGAAACCCATATGGAGGTAAATGGGCATATGCCCGAAAGAAGGGCATTGGGCTTGCAGGGGAGTTCAAGCTTAGCACTCTGGTTGGAGGCAGTATTGGGCACAGAGGGTGAGGCAAGAGAAGTGGAGGTACCAGTTGCCTATGCTATCTAGTTGTCACCCAATGTGTTGTCTTTCCATTGCTGCATGAGCACTAGGCTCACTCAGAGGCAAAGTCTGAAACTAGTCTATGAAGACTCGTACTTGTTTACTTCATAATTCTACTTCTTTTCTTCCTATCAGACTTTATGTCATTAAGTTACTTTCCAAAACTGATTGCTGAAGTCTTTTAGAGAGGTCCTGGATTTAACCTGGAAATAGCGCCCTCACCTTGGAAATGCAGCAGCTGAACTCCTCTAGAAGCTCAGGGCTTCTGTGCTGCACAAAAAGAGTTGCTATCAAAACATATAGAGCAAACTTCAGCAAAGTAGGAGCTCCTTTCAAACAACAACGGAAGTCTTTGCACTGACAAAGACAAAATGTTTGCTCTCTCAAAGAAGCGAAATCACACCTTAACCTGCTTAGGGCTACTCAAAACCTGTGAGATAAAACCCAGTCTCAAGCGGGAGAAGCCAACTGAGCTTTTCACTTTTTCTTGGCTTTTGTTTCTTAAACTCTGAACTCAAAGGGAGTTTTGTTTACACTTCTCCTTGCGGGCTTCTCAGCTGATGGGGTTTCACACATGAGTTGTGGGTGGACAATGAAGAAAATGTTCAACATTTGCCATGCAGAGGTGGCTCAGCTAATTCCATGCTCAGACAGTAGCAGGTGTCCAGGCTGCGTGTTTCTACACTTGTGGGCTTCAGTAGCAGGAATCTCTGGTACTGGACTTCAGGACAGAACACTATTTCATATGTGCTTTGTAGACAGCCCTAATTAGCTAAATTAGTTTGTCTGCATCATAAATGTAAAGCAGCGCACACTGGATTTGTCTCTAATTGTGCCATTGCTGTGGTGATGGGTTGCAGACTTTTCCTCTTTTTTTTTTGAAACTTTCTCATTAGTACTTAGCTTTAGGCATTTGTGAGAAACCACAGCCTCCAAACGCTCCCACTCCTGTCCTCTTAATTTTGACTCACAAGGTTTTAATGGATGAACAGAAAGCAAAGAAAGCCTTTGGTTCTCATACCATTCAGCAAACCTCCGGCTGGCACTGGCATTGTTTGGGAACCCTTGTGGGGATGAAAGCAAACTCTGTACAGATGTGGCCTCTTCTGAGGCTGCTCTTTGAGGCCTGTTGATTCTCAGAACAAAAAGCACGTGAGGAGGGTGACTGGCAGGGGATTTCCATGGGGCGCTCAAAGTGAAGTTATTTTAAACTGATCCTGCACCACACAGGGCTAGCAGTAGTCCTTGGTGGGAAGGGATCCCAATAGCACAAATGCTGCTGTGACCCTTTGTATGCAGTGGATTTTTTCATAACCTCAGTGGGACTGGGGCTGACATGTCCACCGCATGGCGGGACAGGGACATTGCATGG